GGGGGAAGCCGCCGGGCGGCCGGCCGAAAACCAGCGAGCGGCGCGGGGGGGCCCACGAGGCCTGGGTGGCTGCAGCCTCCCAGGCCTCAGTTCGGAGCCGGCCGCGGGGGGGGAGGCAAGGGGGGGAGACGGGAACCAGCGGGACGGGGGTACTTACCTCCGCCTTCTGCTTCCTCTGCCTCCCTCCCGCGGGCCCCGCCCCTTGGAAGGGGGGAAGGGGAAGGGGCGGGGAAGGGGTGAGTAGAGCTGGCCTCCAGAGGCCAGGTCTACCCATGCAATAGGAAGGAATGAGTAGACCTGGACTCCTCCGGAGGCCAGGCCTACCCATGCAATAGGAAGGAGTGAGTAGACCTGGCCTCCGGAGGCCAGGTCTACCCATGCAATAGGAAGGAGTGAGTAGACCTGGACTCCTCCAGAGGCCAGGTCTACCCTTGCAATTGGAAGGGGTGGGTAGACCTGGCCTCCAGAGGCCAGGTTACCCATGCAATAGGAAGGAGTGAGTAGACCTGGACTCCTCCGGAGGCCAGGTCTACCCCTGCAATTGGAAGGGGTGGGTAGACCTGGCCTCCGGAGGCCAGGTCTAGCAATGTAGTGGGAAGGGGTGGGTAGAAGTGGACTCTGGAGAAGGGGGTTCCACTCCAGGGCAGGGGGAGGGGAAGATTGAGCCAGGGGGTGGAGGAAGGGTGGAGGAGACGGGGAACCGGCGGGATAGGGGGGGAACTTACCTCCTGCTGCTTCCTCTTCTTCCTGATAGGCGTGGAGGTCCCCCTCTCCCGCGAGTATCGCGGGTCCCCCCCTTGTACCTTCTAAACCCTCATGGTTTATCCAACATTTCATTTCAGTTCACACACTAAATATAACAGGGGAGGGGGGAGACTTGCTGACCAAACTGTTGATTTCCTACTTGGTAAGTTCCCCTTTGGTTTGGTCATAGAAGATGATCAGGAAAATTTTGAAAGTTTTCCTCAATCTCAGCACCAGATCTGGGAGATTACAGGTTATCTCTTGGCTTTGGAGAAATGCTGGAGACCTCAGTTCCTTTCCATGGAATCATGCGGGAGTCCTGTGTATGCTGTCTTCTTGTTATTTTGGTGGGCTAGACTTTGGAGAGGTGAAAGCCAAATGTTCCTGCATATTGGGGAGTGTTCTCAGTTACACAGAACTCTTCCCCTTGAAGGGAAAAGGTTTGAGTGTTCAAAGTCTGTTCTGTTGATTTTTAAAGTATTTGTGAAGGCAATAGTTTCCATGTAAGAAAATCTGATTTCACATTCAGGAACATACTTCTAGACATACAAGTTTCTGTAACGGCTTAGCAGAAACAATATATTTTATTTTCTCAGAAAACTGCTGTTTCTGTGGAATGACATTTTATCCGTAGGTTAGTTGTGAGGAATCACTGCTACCATCAGTCAAGGGAGAACTGTGGTATGACTTCCTTGATTGCTGATTTGTATATGATGCAGCTCTCTCCTTAAGGCACACACCTTCTGCCAAAACCAAAAGGTACAATAAAGATTTCACAGTAGTCTCCGAACGATACATTAAGCTATGCTTCTGTTTAATCTAGATCTTAGTGGTTATAGTCCTTAAAAGCTTTCACATAACATTGTTAAATTTTGGATAAAGTAGGCCTGGGCTGAAACCTGATACAAAAAGTACAGAAGCACTGTTTCTACATAGTTTTCTAAACATTTGAGGTAATATTAAATCAGTTATCATTAATTATACTTGTATTTATAATTTTTTCAGTTTATTATTATGGTCATAGACAGGCAATTGTATTTATAATATTTCTGGTTCTCAGGGTGCAGTTTTGCCTGATCTCCCCCCATGGATGAAGTTCCTACATAGCAAACTGGGGAATCCGTCTGTACCACTAAACATTCGCCTCTTTGTGGCCAAACTAATTGTGAATACGGAAGAAGTGAGTACAGTTTTGTTTTTGATAGCCACAAAAAATGCTAATAGTTTGAGTCCAGTAGCACCTTAAGAGACCAATAAGATTTTTCAGGGTATGCTGTCATAAATAAATGGGAACTGCTGACTCTTTGGCTTTAAGTCTCCAGTGCAACAAAGTAGAAGCAGTCTTTTTGCTCCAGTATGTAATGTTTATGAATTTGCTTAAGGATTGTGTTCTAAAGGATTATTTTTTTTTTTTTTTTTTTTGCCTTGCAATATTCCATCTGGCTGAAACCAGGAAGAAGAGGAGCAGGATGCACAGTATTCACACCCAAAAAAAGATTAAAATAGATTATTTGAAAGGATTATTTTAATTTTTAAAAACAGGATCTGTTCTAACAATGCAGGAATTTATTTGCTATTTTTGAACCTGGTATATTTCTATACTATTTTATGGTTTTTCTGTTAATAAAATATACTAACTTTCTTTGGGAATCTTAAATATAATTTTGTCAAGAAATATTGGCCCCATAATGTACAATTATGTGTTGTAACTGGTTTTTATAAAAAGCTGCTGCAGTTTACAGTACATTGTAAGAATAATTCCTCTACTGGTTTAGTAGAGACAAATTAAAAGATGGTAGATTTGAGAATTGCAGATGGATTAAATTCTGTCAGTGCATCTTGAGTTATAGGTGTTTCTTTCCATGCAAGAAACTCTGGCATCTAGCAAAGGAGGAACATGAGCCCATTCCTTTACCAGATAAAGGAAGTTAAACTTCCTGAGTGCACTGATACTTTTCTGGCCCATAGGCAACAGTGTGACCTTGTGTGCTTATAATCTATGTTGTGGCCATTGTTCATGTCAGTAAATTAATCTACTACAAGGAAGAAATTGGAAGGGTAGAAATTGATAGTTTGTAGGGAAGTGCTAACTGGAAAATTAATAATTGCATTCCAGTGTTATTCCATTTCAGTGCTGGGTAAATTTATCAAAGTGGTTTTCTGTCACTCTTGGTTTTTCAGTATCTACTTAAATTGTGTTTGAATGTCTGCTTATTAGCTCATCACGGAAAATGTTAATTTCACTTCAGCTTTGCTAAATTTGTATTAATTTTTGCTGCGGTTAGCACTTTTCTCAATAACATGGTAAGAGTTTCTGTTTAAAATGCCAGATAACATTTGTGCCTTCAGCTGTAGCTCCTAATTTGGGGAACTAGTAACAGAAGGGGGAATTTGATTGAAAAACATATGTAATTGCGATACACATTCATTGTTTAAATGTAACTCATCTGTTCAAACAGTAATATAAACTTAGAAAAGTTAATACTTGTTTTTCTATATGGACATCATGAAATGATTTATCACTAAAGCATCAAATGTTTTGCTTTTACAGTACACTTTATTCTCAAGCAAATTGTCTTACCCATTTGGTTTTCTGTATTATTGCTGTATAGCAATTTCCAAAATGGCATTCTTCTTTAGCTGAATTCTTATTTTTTCTTTTATAGGTTTTCCAGCCATATGCAAAGCAGTTTTTAGGCCCCTTGTTGCAGTTGATTGTTTCTGGAGATAATGGCGGAGAGGGAATTCATTACATGGTGGTGGAAATAGTGGTCACTTTGCTGTCCTGGACTAGTATTGCTACTCCAAAAGTAAGAAATTTTGTCATAACCTAGTGGAGGTTTGTGTATTGACCATAGACTAAGTAGCCAGCTTTTAATGGGGGGAAATTCAGTGGAAAGGCCTTTATGTTTTTGGAGTCATAGTAGATAACTCACGAAAAAAAATGTTGACCCAGTGTGCAACTGCAAGAAAAAAGGCAAATGCTATGCTGAGGATCATTAGGAAGAGAACTGAAAACAAATCAGCCAGTATTACAATGCCCCTGTTTAAATCTGTGGTGTGGCCTTATGTGGAATACTGTGTATAGTTCTGGTCACCACACCTCAAAAAGGATATTATAGCATTGGAAAAGATGAAGAAAGGGCAACTAAAACGATTAAGGGGATGGAAAACTTTACCTATGAAGAAAGGTTAAAGAAGTTAGGGCTCTTTGGCTTGGAGAAAGAATGACTGAAGGATGACATGACAGAGGTTTACAAAATTGTGCATGGGATAGAGAAGGTAGAGAAAGAAGTACTTTTCTTCCTTTCTCACAATACTCTGGTTTCTCTTCAGATCGCATAAATCTTTCACCTTTTCACAATACAAGAACTTGTGGACATGCAATGAAATTGATGAGCAGTAGGTTTAGAACAGATAAAATTACTTCTTCACCCAAAGAGTAATTAACGTGTGGAATTCACTGGTGCAGGAAGTCGTGGTGGATACAAGCATAAACAGCTTCAAGAGGGGATTGGAGAAACATATGGAGCGGAATCTGTATTCTTGGTGCTTGGGGGGCCACAGTGGGAGGGCTTCTGGAGTTCTGGCCCCACTAGTGGTCTTCCTGATGACACCTGAGTTTTGGCCACTGGGTGACACAGAGCTTTGGACTGGATGGGCCATTGGCATGATCCAGCACAGCTTCTCGTATGTTCTTATGGTACCTTTGTAATTTTTGTTTTACTTCAAGAAGTTCCTGCATGTAAACTAGCTATGCTGCTTTGTAATCTCTTCACACTAGGAAAACATTAAGGATGAAATCCTTGCAAACAGGTTGCTTGAGTACTTGATGAAGAATGCATTTCATCAGAAAAGAGCAGTGTTCAGACATAATCTGGAAATTATAAAGACAGTAGTAGAGTGCTGGAAGGACTGTCTCAGCATACCTTACAGGTAACAATCTAATAAAGACATTTTGTAGTTGAAAAATATACCTAGAGTATTTTATTTATTTATTTATCTATCAAATTTATACCCCCCCTTCCCGCAGAAGCAGGCTCAAGGCGGCTTACAGAAAAGATTAAAACACATCGGTAACAGTTAAAACAATCATAAAACTTTCTAATAACAATCCAAATATCATATAGTGCTAGTACATTTTAGGTCTGGTAATAATTATGTTGTTTGGCAATGGTTGCAGCAATTCGATGGTCTCTCCTATTGACCTGCTCCTTGTTCTGTTTCTTATGTGGCAGGCACAAGCTGTAGTTGGTGACTCTGAAGGACAGGTCTTACAAATTATTAAGGGTGGCTCCTTAGTTGAAGGTCTGGTGGAAGAGCTCCATCTTGCAGGCCCTGTGGAACTGCATAAGGTCCCGCAGGGCCCTGATCTCTTCTGGGAGCTCATTCTACCCATATGGAGCCGCCACTGAGAAGGCCCTGGTCCTGGTTAAGGCCAGCCTGGCGTCTTTAGAACCCAGGAGGGTCAGTCGATTTTGGGATCCTGACCGCAGTGCTCTCTGGGGAACATGTGGGGAAAGGCCTCAGGTATGTTGGCCCCTGACCATAAAGGGCTTTAAAGGTAAGAGCCTTTATGCTATCGGTAGCCAGTGCAGTGCTTTCAGCACAGGCTGGATGTGCTCCTGGACAGGGAGACCCATCAGAAGCCTAGCCACTGCATTTTGCACTAGCTGTAGCTTCCAGATCTGAGACAGGGGCAGCCCCATGTAGAGTGCATTACAGTAGTCCAGTCTTGAGGTTACCATCGCATGGAGCACTGTTTCCAAGTGATTGCATTCGAAGAAGGAAACCAACTGCTTGATCAGCCGAAGATGATAAAAGGCTGACTTGGCAGTGGCTGCTACCTGGGCCTCCATTGTTAAGTAAGCATCCCGGAGCACTCCCAAACTCCTCACCTCCATGCTGGCACCAACAGCCCATTCAAAGGTTGGGAGTGGGATCCCTACCCTTGGCCCACCCTGGCTCAGGCACAGGACTTTTGTCTTTGTTGGATTCAATTTCAGTCAGCTCAGTCTAAGCCATCTAGCCACGGTTTGTAACGCCCGGCCCAGATCTTCCAGTTTAGAGTCAGACTGGCTGCCCAACAACAGATAGAGCTGGGTGTCATCAGTGTACTGGTGACATCCCAGCCCATGCCTCCAGGCAATCTGGGCAAGGGGGCACATATAGATGTTAAATAGCACTGGGGAAAGCACTGCCCCTTGGGGCACTCCACAATCCAGTGGGTGCCTTCAGGATAGCTGCTCCCTTAGTGCCACCCTTTGTCCCCGACCTTGGAGGAAGGAGGCAAGCCATTGCAAGGCAATGTGGCAAGGCAGTGTTGGCAAGGCAGTCGATCAGTAGCTGATGGTCAACCGCGTCAAATGCTGCTGACAGGTCCAACAACAACAGCACTGCCGATTCGCCCCGATCCAGATGCCTCTGGAGGTCATCCGTGAGGGCGACCAGCAATGCTCCCTCTAAGCTATGGAGTCCTGTGAGCAAAAACTCTACTTTGTGAGCTGCCGGCATTAAAGTTGTGAGCAGGTGATTTGGCTGCTGCATAGATTAGTTTGCTCTGGAGCCATCCCTTCCTGAGCGAAGGCAAAAATGTGTGAGCCGGAGGCTAAAAAACTGTGAGCTAGCTCACACTAACTCACCTTAGAGGGAACACTGGCGACCAGTGCCATGTCTGTCCTGTTGGCCTGGTTGTAAATGCTGAACTCTACAAAGATCTATAGTTTGTTGTCACAAAAGCACCCACATAGTTCCAAGTTATCAGTATATCTAATTCTCAGTATGGGTCCATTTATGGATGTTTAAATCTGCAGTGGGAACCATGAACAGGCAAGGAAGATCTGTCTACAAATCTGAGGAAAAACCCAGGTTCGAAGAAAAATGTGAAATCTTTAAAAACAAAACATTGGAGGGGATTAGAACTCCCCAAAATAATAGAAGTAGGATCTGTACCTTAAAGGAACAAATGCCTTCTGTAGTGCCCATTGTGGGGATTGCTAGGCAACCACAATAGTATTGCCAGCCTTCAAGCATTGGTTTCAGTTACTATAATGCAAGAGGAGGGGACAGGGCCCTTTCCAGGCTTGTTTTGGCCTTTGAAGGGGGATTCATTTGGGCCAGGCCCAAGAGCAGCCACTGGCAGGCCTGGTTGTGTATTACTATACAACTGCAGCCACCATGTAAAAGCCAGTGTGGTGTAGTGGTTAGCGGTTCAAACTAGGATCTGTGAGACCCAGGTTTGAATCCCCACTTGGCCATGGCAGCTCACTGTGTGACCTTGGGCCAGTCACACACTTCCAGTCTAACCTATTTCACAGGGTTGTTTAGAGGATAAAATGGAGGATAGGGGAATGATATAAGCTGGCTGAGGTCCCCACCAGGAAGAAATGAAGAAATAGATATAGCTGAAGATGGGAAGCAGATAAAGGTTAAGTTAGCTGTTCGCTGGGAAGGATAGGAGGAAGCAGGGAAATGGGAGGAGCATATGGGGGCTGCCAGGAGGGAGGAAATAGTCTGGGAGGAGGGATATAGGGGGAAATGAGATGTCTCCCACAAGTCATTGTGGATCCCCCACTTGTGCTTTTCAAGAAAAAAATTGTAATGGATGATTTCTAATAGTACTGTTGCATTTATGTCAAATTGTGGCGATTTCATACCTGCTTGTTTAAGTATACTAAGCCTAAAGAATTTGGGCTGTGGAGAAGGAAGTTTGAAACTCTTTGAATCTTAGGTCCTTCAGTCTCCTATCTGCCACATATTCTTAACTTGTACCTGAAAAGTTCTTTTCAGAATAGAAAACTTCTGTAAGCTGAGTTCTGCTTGTGGAACATGACTTTCTTTATTCCTTTTTGTTGCAGCTCTAATACATTATCTCAAAAGTCACTTACAGGTGTCAGTATATCATCTGAAAGGTGGTCTGTGTGATTATATTGCGAGGTTACCTCCTTGCATGGGTTGTGGAAAGTTTTCTGCTCATGCCAGGGCTCCCATTGGACTGAAGTGTTTATTTTCTGCCATTTCTCTGTTGATGTGAGAATTACCAACATGCACAATTGAAATTAATGTTGCAGAGTAGCCCAGAGAGGTGAAATTTCAGAGGTTTCATGACCAAACAAATCAATAGGAGAGCTGGGTGTGGAGAGTGATGAGGAAGGTTGGACTGTGTAGGATTTCTAAAGTTTTCCAGCTTATGAACTTATAACAATATATCAGAATTTGGCCATTGACTTTTTAAAAACATCTGAGTTTACTGTTTTTCATATTTTTGTCTTCCATCCTTTTGTTTTGTTACAGGATAATATTTGAACGGTTTTCTGGTGGAGATCCGAATACAAAAGACAACTCAGTGGGAATTCAGTTATTAGGAATTGTTCTTGCTAATAACTTGCCTCCCTATGATCCAAAGTGTGAAATAGATAATGTGAGGTAAGAAAAATAATTTTTTGAAATTAGATAGGTGTATATAGAGCACAAAGAATTTGCACAATAGAGACATACTTGAAACACTTGCATCTTAGTTTCCTCAAGTTTCTTGTCCTCCGAGGGTGTACAAAATCAATCCATGTCAACAAGGCAGAATCTCAAAATGAAGGCACTGTCACCATTTGGAAGAAGCTGGGATGTATTTCTGGAGGTCTGTAGTGGCAACTTTTTGTAGGGCCAGCCAGTTTCAACATAAATCTTTGCAGTATCACCTCTACAGAGTGTGTGTGTGTGTGTGGTATGTGGTTAGACCTTTGAATCAAATAAGTACAGTGATTGTTGCATGTGTCTGGAATTTCTTCAGAAAATTTGGGCTCTCGTTTTAACTCCAGATATCTCAGTTTGTGCTGTAGCATCAAATTCACAAGGTAGCATTCCACAACTGCAGTGATAGTGTGTGACAGGGAGACCATGCAGATGCTTTCCCCAAGTTAAACTACTTGCATGATTCACCTATCAGTATTTACTGTACACATTTACACAATGTTTTTATTTATTATTTATTCACTTCATTTGTATCCCACCTTTCTCTACAATGGGGGGGCAAAGTATCTTACATTCTTCTCCTCACCTCTAGTTTATCTTCACAACAACCCTATGAGGTAGGTTAGGCTGAGAATGTGCATCTAGCCCAAGGCCACCAAGCAGGCTTCCATGGCAGAGAGGGGTTGGGTCTCCCAGATCCTAGACTGATGCTAACCATTACACCATACTGGTTCTTATACATACTTTATGAGAATATATATATGTGTACTGTTCATACGATATACTTTACATCATAAGTGATAGAGTAGCTTTTGTAGATGTCTTCTAACATTATTTATTAGCCATTAAATGGTATTCTGAGAATATTACAGCAGATTTTTTAAAAATGCTAGATACTTCCAAGCTCTGGCTAACAATATGGCCTTGGTAAGATACAAGGAGGTATATGCAGCTGCAGCAGAAGTCCTGGGACTCGTTCTTCAATATATTGCTGAAAAGGAAAATGTGAGTATAATGTGAAGTGCATTTTACAATTTCAGAACGAGGGAAAGCTTTAGATTTCTGTGTATAACATTTTATTTTGACAGTTGATACTTCAGTAGGTATTATGGCAAACAAAGATTTCAATCTTACTGTGACTAGCATTCCTTGAGAGTGCTAGCCTCCCCAAAATTACCTACTTCTGTAGAAGACAATGATTGACTGTATCAGTATGAAGACGCCTGTATTTATTTATTTAATGCAGTTATACCCTGTATTTCTCCCCAGTGGAAACCCAAAGTGGCTTACATCGTTCTCCTCCATTTTATCGTCACAACAACTTTGTGAGGTGTAGGTTAGGCTGAGAGAGTGTGCCTGGCCCAAGGCCATCCCGTGAGCTTCCAGGGCACAAGTGGTGACTGGAACCTGGATGTTCCAGATACCAGTCCAATGCTCTTAACCACTACACCACACTGATTCTCTGTTGACAGAGGCAGCTATAAACCTGATCACCTAAAAGGTTTTATGACTACTGACTGTAGTAGTAATTATTATTCATCTTCCATCTTCAGTGCAGCCCCACATTGGGACTGTACAGGACAGCCACAATTGGAGTTTAAGCTGCTAGAAACCAGTGTAGGGGGGCCTGCCTTTGGTGCAAGCACAGAGGTTTCCCACCAAACCATCACGTGTTCCAGAGGTGCAAACCTCCTCTCAGTTCCTTTCTTGCTGCCGTTTGATGAGGAGTTTTAGTACTTTGCTCTGTACTTACAGCATTTTTTTCAGCTTGTACAACCTCCATTTGGTGTTTCTGTTACTTGGAGTATTAAACCTGACAAACTGTCACTCCTTTCATTGTTGTGTGGGTGAGGTAGCTCTCACTGACCTACTCCTTCCCTTTCCCCCTTGTAACTGGGTCGGGTTGATAGACTTACCTCTTGCTGTTGGCATGGCTTCCAGTGCTCTCTTCAAGAAGTGCACTTGATGTGCTACTAAGATGATGCGCAGCGAGCACGAGTTGTGCTTAATGTGCTTGGGCAAAAGGCGCATAATGTTGGGTGCCTGTAAAATCTACCAAGGTTTCACCCCAAAAGCCCAATCAGACTGAACTTTTTATTTGAAAGCAGCCTTATGGGAAAACGTGCTCACTTCTGCAGACCCTTCAAAACTGTCCATTTTAGTGCCACAAAAACCAGATGCTTTGGTGAGATCTATGGCATCTGCAGTTGAGCTACATAGATATGTGTGGTTGCGCAACACCACCTCGCCCCTTGACTTGTGTTGCAGGGTCAAAGAACTCCCTTTTAAGGGCTTGACATTGTTTTCTGCCACAACAGGCGAGTTCCTTATTATTATGAAGAGGGATAGGCAGACTGCATAATTCTTGGGGATTCTCCAGCCTGATGCCCCTTGTTAACTTTTTTGTCCATTGTTAGCATGGGTTTGCTATGCCTTTTTATCGATGCCAGAACGCCCAGCATCAACATGCTCCTCAGCTGTATCCTCAACATTGCTCATTCCGATCTCCTTCCTTCCAGAGGAGGAAGAACCCCTCCAGACCCAGATCAGGCAACCATCAGCCTCCCTTGAAGTACCCAGCTCAGTCTACCCCAAAGTTCTGACTATTGGTTTTCACTACAGGGGGCAATCCATTCTTCCTCAATAGGCTAGCCAGATTTTGAGTGGCAAAAGTCTAGCAACTTGGCCCAGTTCTTGGTTAATAATAGTAGACCTCAAGGACGCCTATTTTCATATCTCTATTCTGCCATCTCACTAAAGGTACCCATGTTTCTGTTTTGGTACTGAGATCTTTCACTACTATGCACTGCCATTCGGACTGCTCCTGTTATGAGGCTGTGGGTAAGACCTGCCCCATCGAAGTTCGAACTCACTCCACTAGGGCTCAAGATTCTTTGTCTGCTTTCCATCGGAGATTTGTCCTTGCCAACATCTGCAAGGCAGTAACCTGGCTGGCGGAGGAGACTTTCATGAAGCTCTACGTTCTCGACTTGCAATCAAGAAAAGACCCTGGGGGTGGGGGAAGCAATACTTCATTTGTTGCTCCAGTGAAAGCATCACCCCACCTCCTGTGGTGAGTAACTAGCTAAAATCCCAATGTGGGGTTGCACTGAAGACAGAAGATGAAAATAGAGTTGCACTTACTTGTAACTGTTGTTCATTGATGTCTTCTGTGCAGACACACATTCCTCCCTCCTGCCCCACTGTGAGCTCTTTTCCTGAAGTAATCTGTGATGTTTTCTCCAAGAGGATGCAGTGTCAAACAGGAACTGAGAGAGAGGGATGCATGCCTCTGGAGCACATTACAATTTGGCGAGAAACTTCCATCTTGCTCCAAAGGTGGAGGGGTGTCCTCTCGATTTTTAGAAACTTAAACTCAGATTGTGGCTGACCTGTGCCTGTGCAGTCTGTGTCTGCACAGAAGACATTGATGAAGCACAGTTACAGGTAAAGTGCAACTCTGTTTTTCTTGTGTCATAGTTCAGGAGGTTGTGCTTTGGGGATTTACAAGTGCATAATAACTATGATCTCTTCAATTTTCAGATATATGAAAGTCCAGTTTTCGACATCATCATAAAGCAATTAAAGCAACATCAAAATACTAGGGAAGACAAATTTATTATCTGCCTGAATAAACTGGCAAAGAACTTTCCTCCTCTTGCAGATAGGTATTATGAAATTATGAGTGATCATACACCCTAAAAGTATTCCAGTACGTAGCTGTATTATTGCATCTTGTGCTTTCTTGTTCTTGGTCATGGAAAGGTTTATGAATACAGTCTTCTTCTTAATACCAAAGCTTCATGGGGTGATGAAAACCTACTGTCTGGAAGTGGTAATGGGCCGTGCCCATGGAATACCCAGTTTGTACTTAGAGCTGAAGAGTAAAGATTTTACCCAAATTATGAGTCACAGGTAAGGAACACTACAATGAGTGCCTATTTCTTACAAAGTTCTTTCACTTGTGGTACACAGTCCATTGGAGAACTGTCCTGCAGAAGCCCATTTAAATAAATGGGAAATGCGCAAGAGGGTATTCTGCCTATGGTTTTATGAGGTTTTAACTGTATTTTATGTACTGACTATGAGCCGCCCTGAGCCTGCATTGCAGGGAGGGCGGGGTACAAATGCAATAAATAAATAAATAAAATGAAGACAGAAGGAAACTAGTTTTGTTCTCTTCTTTCAGTTGTGATGAGGCAGTCAAAATTCTTCAGAAAAACTTTCTCCCCATTCAGTGAAAATAAATGGTGGAAGGTCTTTTTTTTACCATTTTCTATATCTAAAGTGATATTTATTGCTCATACAATGTAGATTATTTTAAAATGTAGTTGTACTGCACTTTACAAAAGTGAAGACAAGCCTGTTAATGAAAAGTATCTTTAGAAATGAAAAAGAAATTCCAAAATATTATGTTTTAATTTGTGCTTCTTGTATTTAGTAGTTGAAGATTTAATTCCATGCTGTTGAAAGAATAATGAAAGTAATGCAGGCATTTCCCCCCCACAGAGATGATGAAAGGCAAACAGTATGTTTAGACATAGTTTACAAGATGTTAGCTAAGCTAACACCAGCTGAAGTACAAGAGCTTCTTCCTACAGTCACAGGCTTCATCACTCATCCTTCACCACTGTGTCGGGGGCGGATGTATGACATTCTCATGTGGATATATGATAATTACAGGTAGGGGTTCAAGTGCATGTCTTGCTATAGAAAATGGTCCTGTAAGCTTCCTTTCATTTGTTGCATTGTTTCAGAGCCTGGCTACACATTACATTCATCACAGTAATAGCAGACAGATGTTGAAGGTCAAGAACTGTGAAAGTTCCCTGGAAACCAGCAAATAAAGCTGGAGTGAAATTTTAAGTGAGCTCCACAAAAGCTTCTTGCTGCCTTTCTTCCTCAATTGGTTTTCTTTAAGCAGCCAATTGCATCTACTTCAACAGCCCTGAGGGAACATGAGGTGATCCAAGAAAGATCAGATGAACAGTGTCATGGAGAAAGGTGATCAATGGCTGTAGCGTCCATATATGCCTGCCTGAAGTCTCTTCCACCTTTGTGCCCATTTCTACATTCATACTGATAACTCTGCCAGCTTCTTATGTGATAAGTGTAATGTCTTGCCACACTCTGACTTGTTCATAACTTAGCTTGTGAAGTATGTGCATGTGCGGGAGCTCACAGGCATGTAAATCGCACACTACATTATTGGTTGTACTGTGATGCTGTCTTCAGATGTTTAAAGCTTCTGTGAAGAGACAGAGTTTGGGTGGGGAAATCTTCAAACTGTGTGTCAAGAGATGTGTGCTATCATCAGGAATTATGAACAGAGATAGAGAAGGTAAGAGGTGGAAAAGCTAAGAGGAAAAGTGGCCCAGTTCAAGTGGTGGTGGCTGGTGAAATAGTCACCCCCCTCAAGGTAGCTGGAATGTTAGAGGAAGAATTTCTGGAAGCCTGAGGGAAAGTGATTGAGGAAGGCAGCAAACATTGGGGAGGGAAGTGAAAAGGTGGTTGGAGATGAAGTGGATAAGAACTCTGGGAAGACAGAGCACTAACTTCACATAACTACTCAGCAGGCAGTGGGTTGGACCCAAGCTTCCACAAATGGAGTTTGTTTGTCTTCCCCAGCAACTTCCTGTGGACCTCAAAAAGATGCTGCTGAGGGCTTGGGGCACTTTTCAGAACAGAAGGCAGTAAGAAAAAGGAATCAGCCATCCCCTACCCCAAAATAGAGTAGAGGCAATTTTAGCCAATTCCTCCTCCTTGCCACCACATGACATGCTCTTCTGGAAAATCCCCTGGCTGTCAGTTGTAGCTAGACTGGTAAAAACTACTTCTATAAACTCAGTCCATTCTTAGAAGTAGATTCAGCTTTTCTCCCGTGCACTTTTTGGCATCTTCAAACTGGCTTGTGGAGTCCCTATTGGCTTCATTTACAAAACCACGTTACTTAACATGGCTACATGTAATTTTTTTTCAGCAGAGCCAATAGCAGCTCTGTGGGGGAGTTGTGAGGTTGTAAGGAGGAGGAGGTTGAAAATGTTTCTCCCCATGCACCATGATCATTCACAGAAAAGGGTTGGTGTGTGCCTGGGAGGCACAGAGCTCCCATTGTATGTCCGATGCAAGTCCTTACATTGTGTACTGACAAACATGAGGACTTTGTAGCATGTTGGGTAGCCCTAGATGAATGTGAAGGAGAGGAAGAGGAATCTGCAGTAGTCAGTATTATTTTTTCACCTTCTTCAGGGATCCTGAAAGCCAGGCAGATGAAAAGTCTTCAGAGGTATTCAAATTGGCAAAAGAAGTTCTCCTTCAAGGACTGATTGATGAGAATTCTGGACTACAGTGAGTAATATAGGTGGTGAGTGTAATGGCAAGAGTGTTGGAAGAGGACTGGGGACACTGAGTTCAAATCCTTACTCAGCCATGAAGCTCTCTGGTTACCTTTTGGACCAATCACTGTCTCATTCTAGTCTACATGAGAATATTGTTGTGAGGGTAAAATGGAGGCGGGAAGAAGAACCATGCTTCTTGTATCTAGTCCACCTTGACCTCATTGGGGAAGGATGAAATAGATAGATGATGTATATTTGAGTGAAACCTTAATAAGGGTTTAACTGATTTCAAAAGAGAAAGATATTTCATGATTATTTTTTTCCAGTGCTCCCTCAAATTTCCAATATTAATGTTGGACAAGTGAGAAAAGTCTGGGGGAGGGGCTTTTTCTGTGGCCTCACATCCCTAAATACTGTAATAGTCCAGATTTTCCATTTTTCTCAGTAATTATTTTACACCGAAAAAAAATGATAGAATTTTGATTTTATAAGATGGAGCTGTTCATCTGCTGTTGTGCTCTTAGCTGTTTCATTCAGCTGTCCAGATACCATAGGAATTATTTTTTAGCACAACATTATGGTGTGTTTTTTTTTCTAGAATAGCATGTATATGTCTCCCTCTTTTTCTTTCACAGATTAATTGTTAGGAATTTTTGGGGTGATGAAACTCGGTTACCAGGAAACACCCTTGATCGTATGTTGACTTTATTAAGTTCTCTATACTCCACCAAAACTGAAACTCAGTACTTGAGTTTAGTCACCAATTTTCTACTTGAAATGACCAGCAAGAGTCCAGATTATTCCAGGAAAATGTTTGAATATCCACTGTCTGAATGCAAATTTCAAGTGAGTAGATACTACATATTCTATTTCTGTCTGCCCTGTGCAATAGTGAAAATCAGGTGTTTCTCCCATTCAGTCTGATATGGTTGAGTTGCCAAGAAATCCTGTTCTGCTGTTGTCTTATATGATACTTTAGTATATCCTTTAACTATTTTTAGAAGAACTTCTCAAAGTTTGCTGTAGCTTATCTTTGACTGGATTTTAAAATCAATGGGATAGTTTTATTTGAAAATATTACTAAAAGGGAAGGTTTGCCCCATGCAGTTTGAATGCCACTTCTTGATATGATAGCATTTGACTATAGGTGTAAGGTCCTCAGTCTTTGTAATATTATGCATTTCCTATTTGTAATATTATGCATGTAGATCTTTTGGATCTGCAAATTCTTTGTTGTAAAATATTGATGCCAAAAGTGAGAATCTGGAAGTTATTTTTAATATGCCATCTCCAGTTTTATAGTGATTGTTTTGGTGATGACTTTAATAATTTTGTTGTTTTTATTAATGTTATGAACTACTCTATGGAGTTCAATCAAAAATTAAGATAGAAGAAGAAGAAGAGATTGGATTTATACCCCGCTCTTTACTTGGAGTCTCAGAGCGGCTTACAAACTCCTTTCCCTTCCCCTCCCCACAACAGACACCCTGTGAGGTGGGTGGGACTGAGAGAGCTCTGACACAAACTGCTCTTTTAGGAACAGCTGTGCCAGAGCTTGTGACTGACCCAAGGTCACATCAGCAGGTGCAAGTGGAGGAGTGGGGAATCAAACCCGGTTCTCCCAGATTAGAGTCCTCACAAAATTCAAATACTCCATTTTGAGCAACAATAAAATAATATAGTAGAAAAACTGAAGAATCAGATTTAAATGGTAGGCACTGATTTAAGAAGAAAATTTCGAGTAGGGACATTTAGCTAGGTACCTTTCATAGTACAGTTCCTGAATGAACAATTACAGAGTTGGAACCAGCCAGCTTTTCTGCTGGTGAAAGAAGGAGGGCATCCCCTTTGACAATCCAAAGGCTATGTTTGGGATGATGGGACCTGCATGGATAAAAGCCATATGAAACGAGGGCTGTAATAAGGAGGGGAATTGGGTGAGGTTGAGCAAAAAACTTAGCTGGATGGATCCAGCCTCCTGTCGCCAATGGATGGTTACAACAGAGCAGACTGAAACTGAATCCATTGAAGACAGAGGTCCTGTTCCTGGGTTGTGGAGGACCAGGACTGGGGATTGGGCTGTCAACCTTTGATGGGGCCCCACTGGGGCCGGCATCGAAGGTGAAGAGCCTGGGGGTGTTCCTGAATGCCTCACTAACTATGGAGGCCCAGGTCGCTAGGTCTGCCTTTTTCCATCAGTGACAGATCAGGCCGCATATCTCAACCCCCGGGATCTGGCTACAGTGACCCATGGTCACTTCCAGATTGGACTATTGTAATTTTCTCTACATGGGGCTGCCCTCGACTCTGCTCCGGATCCATTTCAAGGTGTTCGTACTTACCTTTAAAGCCCTATACAGCCAGGGGCCTGCATACCTGTGAGACCGCCTCTCCCTCTACAAGCCCCGAAGGGCTTTACAATCTGACAGTCAGCATCTCTTGGTGGTCCCTAGCCCCAAGGATGTCCGTCTTGCCTTTAGTACCTGGTGGAATGAGCTCCCATGTGAAATCAGGTCCCTGTGGGATCTTTTACGGTTCCACAGGGCCTGTAAGATGGAGCTCTTCCACCAGGCTTTTAGTTGAGGCGGCAGGTGTCCCTCCTCTCTAGTGGGCCTCCCCTTAGTGGGTCAGTGCCTGCTGTGTGGGGAGGGCAGGATACAAATCAAATAAAATAAAATAATGTCATGTGCAGCCCTGTCGTATATACATTCATTCACAAGTGTCACAACAGAGTCCTTAAGGACTTGCTCACAAACAAGTGTGCATACAGTTGTAGTCTTAATATTATTTTTTGTGTTCTAAAATGACAACAGTGGCAGAGATAATTTCAGCAGCTGTGTTTCCTCCCCTAGGAATTTGCAGTTGATTCAAGTTGGCGTTTCCGTAGTACTGTTCTTACTCCTATGTTTGTGGAAACTCAAGCTTCCCAGAACCCCAGCAGGCATCGACCACCAGGAGGTTCCCTTTTGACTCATGGGTCCATGGGTGGCCAACTAAGGGCTACACAGCAACAGTATGAATTTACACCCACACAAACTATCGGTAAGTGTCTATATAGGAGGGATTTGTAGCTCTAGTGTTTCATAAGGAGCTGTCTGTAGAATTCTGGCTTCCTCATTCATATTTTTGTGTAGACTTTTGAATATATATTAGATTCTAAGTAAGCTTCTCAGTTTTCACATGCTCTGTCCTGATCATTTGGTTTTTTGTTATAATTGGGCTATAAACAATAGAGCAATATATGGTGGAGGGATTAAGCTATTTTAATGTGCATTGCCTAGTTAATACTTTCTGCTTATTACAGGTGGGAGGAGCTCTTTTAACTGGCTGTTAGGAAACAGTGTTGACACCTTTGCAGAATATTCAGTTACTTCATCTTCTGAATCCTTGTCTTCATCCATGTTGCTCACCCACAAGCATGCTGACAGGTCGCAGAGAGCTGCTTTCAAACCGTTAGGTCCCAATTTTGGGGAAAAAAGACTGGGCTTGCCAGGAGATGAGGTGGATAGCAAAACTAAAGGTATGGATCTCCCCCCTGCCCTTGTATTTTTGTTTCGAGGTTTCTTTTTTGGTCTAAGCAAGTAGTATAAGACATCAAACACACAGCTTTTAGTCAAAGGACCAGTCACCATTTCAAAACTTAAGCTATTATGTTAGGAAAGTTTTAAAAAGACCTTGGATTTTTCTGTCTCATTTCTTCTTAAATGGTGTTATAGGCGACAGCTTCCATCTTGGCTTTTAATTTGCAAGGTATTCTATACAAAGCAAGATAGTGTGTATTTGGTTTCCTGTTTGTATATTTAAAGAAGGATTTTCCTCCTGCATGTATCTGTTAGGTATAGACGAGCGGGCAGAAATTCTGAGGCTACGAAGACGCTTCTTAAAGGACCAAGAAAAGCTGAGTCTGATTTATGCAAGGAAAGGTGTTGCTGAACTGAAACAAGAAAAGGTTTGCTTTTTCTGAGTAGATCGTAGAGGGGGGAGACTTAGCTAGCACTGCAAGATTGGTTTTAGGAATAGCTCTACTGAAGTACTGTTTTAGGAACAGTGATCAGGAAGTTATTTTCCCATCGAGACTTTTTTTTTTTTAGTTTCTGGGTTTGAAAGCCGCTTTTAGGTTATCTGGGTATCATGGCTACCACTACCTCTGTCTTCAGGGTTCCTGGAGGACTGCTGAATTGTCTTTTCTTCTTGAGCTGGAAAGGATGGGTCATAAATTTAATAAATAAAATATTTAGGACAGGATAGGGTGAGGAATGTGCTTCTTAAATTCATTCCTGTTCACTTGGTGATAACTACTACAAACTATCCTAAATAAAATCCATATTAATTTTGTTAGTTACTGTAAACTTATCAATGATTTCAGGAACTGAAAACTGAGCTGAAAATGAAGCACGATGCTCAGGTCACTCTGTATAGGAGGTACAGGCAAGGGGATCTCCCCGACATCCAGATTGAATATAGCAGTCTGATCACTCCTCTGCAAGGCTTAGCACAGGTATGCAATCCCATGTGTTTAACTGACCAAATACAGTTTTTACAAAATATGTTTTATAAACCTGCTCCAGAACACATTTACCTTCTGAATTTTTGACTTTTGATTTGAATTGTATACAGATTTCATTCAGTCACCCTGGACTAAAGTGTGAAATGTAGCATTTATCCTACTTAAATGAACACTGTTGTTTCATTGCAAGCTGGAGTGGTTGCTGCTGCCAAATGTGGTAGCAGGGGTTGCATCAGACTTTCTGAAAGGTTGTTTTGTGACTTCTTGCCTCTATTTAACTTTGCATGCTGTATTATGGGCTCTGCCATTTACCGTTTTCATAGTAGTTCTATGGAGGAAAGGAAAGATGTGAGTGGTCAAGGCCTTACAACAAAGGTTCTCATGGGACTTCCGGTTTTGGCGGGCTGATGGCGGTCGTTTCCCTAGGGTGCTCCTGGTGGATGATCCGTGGACCAGCTCACTGAGAGGGGGTGCGAATGTACTCACTCCCCTGGGACTCGTGCGATGAGTCCCTTGCCATGGGGCACCGAGGGTCGCCTCTCTGCGAGCACGCTGCCAGCAGATTGAGGCTTCCCTTTGCCCTGAAGGTCTCTGCACTGCGTTCTCGAATGGGACCAAGCTACGCATACCAGGACAAGTGCTTGGAGGTACAGCGTTAAAATCCTTACCTGGCGAGATCTGAAGGACCAGACGTTGAAGAGTGAGTTTGTTAAAGCGAGAATACCAGAAAATGAGCGAGTCCCCGTTTACTAAAGCAAGGGGGGAGGGGGACTCTTCCCCGGAAAGAACAAAATAAGCGAAAAAAGAAAAGCCACTGTAGTAGGGATGGAGTTTTAAAAGGTAATAGACTGTAGTTGAGAGACCCCAGGAGTTAAATAAGCGTTTGGGCAAACTTTCGTGACTTTGGCAAATTTTGAAAAAAGTAAATATGCTTTAAAATGGTGATCGTGAGGCAGCAGAAGCAGCAAGCAAGATCCAAAACAACCATAGACTCTTTCAGACTGCAAGCTAAACCTTTGCCCTCTGCTGGCAAAAACGAGTTACTTTACAAGAACTGTGTTATATTCTGACTGCTATTTTCAAGGGACTGTGTTCACATCGGAGAAGCGACTAGCCTTTGATCATAGGGACTTCCAATATTAAAGAGGAGAGTAATAGTAAGACTAAATGGTGGGGCCTGTATATAGTCGACTAAGCGAAGCTGTAAGCGATGGGTATGTCATACTCGAAAAAGTCTAACGGGCAAAAGGATGGATAGACTCTCTACAAGTTTGGCTCTTAAAAGCAACAAATGGAATGATCCCCACGATTGAAGGCATTAATTTAAACGGATTACAGTAATTGAAAAAGAAAAAGAGACTTTGTTCTGAGATTACCAGTTCCAGTTTCAGCAAGACAACGCCACAGGGAAAATGTTTAAGACGAATGAAGATAACAGCGTGGGAAGAGAAATTGACTGCGTTATACTTATTGAGGGAAATATGATTACTAATTTGCTTTAAATGAAGGAGGGAAAAATGTAAAATGAGATGCCACTGTTCTTTGAAATTTGTTCTTAAGCGAATTAGCGATTTATCCTGTAATGCTCTCTATATAGTCAGACTTGATGGTTTGTTAACATAATTGATGATGATAATTGACCACTCTCAATGTCAAGAAAAGCAACTTGTTAAGCTAACACCTTTATAAGCAATGTATGACCTCCAACTCTTGGGTTTTTAGTGGGTTTTCTTTTCTTTCTCCTATAGTATTAGATTCCCTCCCTAATTTTGTTGTAGTTTTTAGAAAATGCAAAAAAAAAAAGTTCTCATGAGTTGTCCTTTAGAAAGCCTGCTGCTTTACATAGCATATAAATTGCTTATTTTATATAGCAGCATGTCTACAACATGTATACAGCATGTAAAACTTGATAATTCATTGTAGAAATTAGGGGTTTTCTTTCAGACTTGAAGTAATTGTTGTATATTTAGATCACTTTTTTGCCATCAAGTTGCAGTCAACTTACAGTGACCCCATAGAGTTTTCAAGGCAAGAGACAGAGTTGGTTTGCCATTGCCTGCCTCTCTGTAGCAATTCTGGTCTTCCTTGGTTGTGTTCCATCCATGTACTATCCAGGGCTGACCCAGCTTAACTTCCAGTATCTTGCAAGATGAGGCTAGCTTGGGCTATCCAATAATGTATTGCAATGTATTGCTTCTTTTTCTCTTTGCTGTGGAAGTGCCAGTGCAATAGTGTTGTAAACATTTGTCCTGAGACTTCCTGCTTCTGTTCTTGATTACAGAGAGACTCTACACTGGCCAAAGTGCTCTTCAGCAGTTTGTTTGCTGGAATTTTGGAAGAAATGAGAAAATCTAAATCTCAGTCAGAGAAGAATAGCATCATCCAACAGCTGGTGCAGGACTTCAATTGCTTCCTGACCACATCTGTGTTGTATTTCCCACCATTCATCGCCTGCGTCCAGGTAGGGGGGGGGGAAATCACTTCCGTCATTTTGAAAGGCAGAAACTTTAAGAGGGACCAGTGTAGTTGTAACACTTCTGAAACTATCATCATGGTTTTGAATTTGGAATGGGGCCCAAACTCATACCTGGTTTCTAAACTGAGGTTGAGGAGGTATCAAAGGTAACATCACACTTGGGTTAAGTAAGGTGTGAGGAATTTAAGAGCAAGAATGAAAGGATAGAATCCCACAGCCCATTCCTAGTTGATAAACCAAAGCTAATGTCTGGGAGCATCACATCTGGGATTAGCCCGAAGTTCTCTTCCTACAAGGCTCCGTTCTTTCCCACAGATAGTTGCAGAATTCATTGCTTGCCTGTATGAGAATCACTTGACATAATCACCTCCATGTTCTTAAGATCAGGTAGTGGTGCCTCAGGAGTCTCCAAAGGAATCATATTTGCTTTTAAGACAGGTACTGTAGAGCATAGGAAGAGACATCTTTCTCACACAACAGTACAGGCTTTGAAGCACTGTGCTTCTTATATTCTTTGAATTCTACCCAGTGGCTTGGGTTCCTGTGTTTAGCCTTTGCCTAGTCTTCAGGCTGATTTGAGATGTTAAGACTGTGAAACAGAAATATATTGATTACCAAAGAACATAAACGAATAGGGGTGTGCAAACTTTTTTAACCAGTATTTTTCAGTTTGGGGCTATTGGACCCGAAAAAATTACAGGAGTCCTGAAAAATCCCAGATCTGAATACCAGTATAGTATTCGGATCCAGGATTTTTCAGAAATTCTGAAATTTTTGGGGTCCAGTAGACCAAGACCAAAAAATGCCAGTAAAAAAATACCAGCCCGATCCTGGGATGGCTTCGCTTCTTCTGCAGCCCAGTTTAAACCAGTTGGCAGGAGAAGGCAGCACAGAGCTGCACCTGCGGGGAACTATTGGCTCCCCATAGGCACAGTGATCCCAGCTGGGCTGCCCTCTCCTGCCACCTGGTTTAAACTGGGCTGCAAGAGAAGCCAGCCACAGCTAAGGCGGTGGGGAGCTATCAGCTCCCCACCACTCCGGCTGATCCTTGGGCTGACATCTGCAGACCCTTTAAAGTTTAAAGGGACTGCATAAACTGAGAGGCTGTTTTCAGATTTATCCGAAATTCCCGAATATATCCTGGATTTTCTTGGGATTTTTTTTTTCCTGAGAAAACCTGGATACGTTTGGGAAGCTGAAATATACTGGGAAAATACTGATAAGGTATTTGGGGGGAACATTTTTGGCTTGGGTAGATCTGAAGGCATACCCTTATAAACGAAAGGGAAGGGGAAAAATTTGTTACTATAAACAAGCACCAGGACTTGCTTAGTTCTCTTTTTTGGTCATTTATCAGTTTTTATTTCTTGTACAAAAAAAGCTGTTTGATGGTTGCCAAAGCAGCCCCCTGGATCCTCTGCACAGAGTCTCTGGTAGTGTGGGTCTTGGCCAGATGGTCGGTGAACTCCTGGTAAGGAGACGTGTGAACACGGTCTCCTTCCCAAAGGTCAGGTAACTGTACGTCTTGGAGATGGCATCAGAGGTGGCCTGGCAAAGTTGCTGAGGGTGGCAGTGCAGCCCCTGGAGAAGGTATAGCAGTCATCAATCCCAGCCATCATCATCAGTTTCTTGGGAACTGGGGCAGACACAATTCCAGTACCACGTGGTGCAGCTTGCTGATCATGCTTAGCCAAGATAATGGCCCCACGAGTTGCAGTGGTGACTTCCTTGGAGCATTTGACTCCAGGGCCAATGTGGCCATTCTAGTCACCCATGGCAACAGAGGCCTTGAACCTGGTGCACTGCCCGACCCGGGTTTGCTCCTGTACAGGGCCCAGGAAAAAGTCAATGATTTCAGACTCCTTGATTGGAAGAGAAAAGAGGTAAATCTCTTCCAGAGACTTGATTTTCATGTCTTTGACCACGGCCAAGTTTTATCTTTATCTTCAGCTTTTCCACCACAGGCCCCATGGCCCCATTTGCATCCTCTTCCATGGCCCCATGCATGGCCTTGGTCACCACTGCCATAGCCTCTTCAGAAGCCCACTCTGGCAGCTCCACCACCACCGACTCCTCCTGCCCCTCTCGCAGCACCAGCGTTGTCTGCTATTTGGTGTTTGATAGACTAGATGACTTGCTTAGTTCTTCTGATTCAGCTGGTGATACCCGTGATAACTTCAGTAGAATTATGAAACACTCAGTGCCACTGTATAAGTTTTAGTTTAGTGTATGAATAAATAAGACAAAATAAGACAATGTCTTAGAATTGGATAAGATTTTCCCCAATGTAGAGGGACTCTCTTAAAGTGGATAATAATGCAGAGGGAAATAGTGTCCCTGTAGAAATCTAAAAAATAAAAGAAAATTAGACCCAGAACTTTGGTGCTGACTGTAATATTTCCCTGACCAAATGCCATGCTTGTACAGCAACTGATGTGTACAGAAGTTTATAATGTAGTGTTTTTTTCATTTGCTGCTTCCTCCTACTAATACTGTGCTATTCCTAGTGGAGGAATACCTGTGCATCCGGGAATTTGACAGTTATTGGTGGTAGTTAAAATAAATCATTGGGGCTGCAAATTAGCTGGAATTTTGGGCGTAGTGTTGTACTGGCTTATATAAGAGCCCTCTGCATGTTGCATGTCTCTAGGGCCAAAAACAGCCACACATTTAATTTCCCCTTGTTCTGATATTAAGATGTTGGGCATTTCCTTGTTCCCCTTAGCAGGAGCCAGTAATAGGTATCAGGGGTGGGGAAATGCTCAATATCAACATCTGAATATGAGTAAGTTGTCCTAAACGTTATGGAGAGGAATGGGGGAATTAAACATGTGGTTGATGCATAGTGTTCTGGCCCAAGAAAGCATTTCCAATAGCTAATTATAGCTTTGCTGCAATAGGAAATGAGTTATCAGCACAAAGAGCTGCTGGACCTGAACCCTTCCAGTGTGAGTACCAGCTGCTTAGCGAGTTTACAGCAATCTGTGGGTATCCTGCTTCTTGAGCAAGCTTTAGTTCACCTTTCTTCTGAAGAGGAGGAACCACCTGCTAAAAGAATGCGTGGAAAGACAGATCTTTCTCCAGATGTCATTCGATGGATTGAACTAGCCAAGTAAGTTGTTCTTGTTTACTTTCAGTCCTAGTTTAGAGATGAGTTCCAATGGGGTCTGAACTGGTGATCACTGACTAGGAAAGAGACCTTGGCATCACAGTGTATAGCTTAGTGATATTGTTAGTTCAGTGTGCAGTAGCAGTGACAAAGACAAATTCTATGCCGAGGGTCATTAGGAAAGGATTGAAGACAAAACAGTCAGTATTCTTATTTATCTGTAGTGTACCTGCATGAGGCATAATGTACAGTGTTGGTTACTGCATCTAAATAAGTGTATCACAACTGGAAAAAGGTTAGAAAAGGGCAGCCAGCACTGATGAAGAGTTGGTGCACCTTCCCTATGCGGAAAGACTATTTGTGGCTTTTCCGTTTAGAGGAAAGATTACCAAGAAGGAACTTGATTGTGGTTTATAAAATTATGCATAGTCTAGAGAAAGTGAATAGAGAACACTTTTGTCTCAAAACTGTAGTACTAGAACTTGGTGACATCCAATCAAGTTGATAGGAGAGTTGACTGAGGAAAGTACTTTTCCACAGAACTTCTAGAATTCACTACCCCATGATGTAGTGATGGATATTATCTTAGATCAGGGGTCCCCAACCTTTTTGAACCTGCAGGCACCGTTGGAGTTCTGACACTGTGTGGTGGCCATGGCAAAAATGGCTGCCACAGGAAGTGAAGCCAGCCACAAAATGATTGCTGCAGCTTAACTTCAGTCACACAGTGAAGATCCTTGTGTTGTGCTGACAAAGCAAGGGTTGTTTTTTTTAAAAAAAACCCTACAGTTAATCAGATCTCTTAATGGCCAATCAGAAGCTTTGCTGGGCAAAAGGCCTATCTGGCCCTGCCCACTTCCTAAAACATTTGGAGAGCACCAAAAAAAGTGTTGGTGTGCACAATGGTGCCACGGGTACACATTGGGGACCACTGTTTTAGAAGGTGTTAAAAAAAGGCTAGACAAACATTAACTCTTCTGTTAGGTTCCATTTTATTCATGTTAGGTTCTGTTTTATTTATGATGACAATCATATGGAACCTGCATATTTAGAGACCAAATATGCCTGAATTCCTGTTGCTGGAGACAAGCACAAGGAGAGGCTGTGGCCTCTGTGTCTTGCTTGCAGGCCCTCCAAGGGCATCTCGTTGGCTGTTATGCAAAACAGGATCCTAGACTTGATAGACCACACTGGGGACCACTGTCTTAGATAGTGTTAAACTGCCTTAGATGACAGCTAAACAGGGCCTTCCACCAGGCCTTCAGTCAAGGAAACACCTCCAATAACAATTGGAAGGTATAGAGCCCTGTCACCTAGTTTCCACCATCTACGGCCTGTGCTTGCAGCATATACATAAATAGATCAGTGAACTGACCATCAAGACAGACCACCAAATATATCAACATGACTGTTACCACCATCTTTTTTAATGTATTTATTTATATTTTATAGCATATACATTTCAATCCTGGAAATACAGTAGTTTTTGAGTCTATTTTTCCAGCTTGATGTCTAACCATGAATACACTCTAGCCCATTGCTTAAATACAATTCTTCATCAATGTTCCCTCTAAGCTATGGAGTGTTGTGAGCAAAAATTCTACTTTGTGAGCTACTGGCATTAAAGTTGTGAGCAGGTGATTTGGCTACTGCATAAATTGGTTTGGAGCCCTCCTTCCTGAGCGAAGACAAAAATGTGTGAGCCGGAGGCTCAAAAAACGTGAGCTAGCTCACACTAACTCAGCTTAGAGGGAACATTGTAATCTTCATCTTTTCCTTGCAAAACAACATTTAATCTATCCATTTCTGCTAATTCCAACGATTTCTGAGTTATCTCTTCTCTTGAAGGTGTTCTCTGTGTTTTCCAGCATTTAGCCAACAAATTTCTAGCTGAAGTTAAAATATAAGTTATGTAGAATTCATTTTGTTTATATCCATTAGGTATCATATTCAACAGGTAAATTTCTGGTCTTAAGGCTAATTTAGTGTTTAGTATTTCCATTATTATCTTATGTATTTTATGCTAAAGGTTCTGGACATTCCCACATCTCCACCACATATGATAAAATGTTCCCACATTGGTTTTACATTTCCAACATCTATTTGATATTTTCGGATAGCATTTAGATATTTTATCGGGGGACCAATGCCATCTGTGAAACATTTTATAAATGTTTTCTTTATATGATATTGCTCCCATAAACTTCGTTGTCTGCCATATTTTTGACCAATGTTCTAGATCTATACTATGACCTAAATCTTGCATCTGTGTAACCATCGTTGTTACTGCCATCTTAAGCAATATTATTAGCATAGATCTGTACTAGCACTTTATGACAATGACTTGTTTTAGAAGGTTTTATGATTCTTACAATTGTTAAAGTTCAACTGTGTAGAAATTTTGTATTAATTTAACTTATTCATTCATAAGTTGTATTTGTTGTTATGAAAATTATTCTCTTTATTAGAAATCAGGATAGTAATGTCTTCTTGGTAAGTTCAGATTTACCTTTGATGGTGTTCACTTTCTAGGCTTTATCGATCTGTTGGAGATTACGATGTCCTGCGGGGTATCTTTAGTGGAAGAATTGGTACTAAAGAAGTCACTCAGAAGGCCTTATTAGCAGAAGCAAACAGTGATTATGCTGAGGCAGCTAAACAATATGATGAGGTACATTTTATGCTTTATAAAACATCTTATTTTCAAGTGACTGAAGGGAAAAAAAGAAGTAATTGCTCAGGCTCAGTGTTGATTTTTAAAAAGGTTTCCAAATCATAATTTTCTCTTTTTGACTAGGATAGTTGTCCTAATGACTAAGGGAAATGAAAACATGGAGTGTGCATGAAGAAGTAGACTGTAATGAAATTCTGTGGAGTGCTGCCATTTCATGCCCTTTAGTCTTCCATCAGGGCAAACTAAAGCAGAGTCAAACCTTTGTAAGCCCATCGATTTCAGTGGATTTAGAACAGGAGTGTCAAACTCATTTGTTATGAGGGCTGGATGTGACGCAAATGAGATGTCGTTGGGCTGGGCCATGTGTGTCATAAGGTAGTGGAGATATAAACTTTATAAAGGACGCAGACAAACACAATTAAAGGTTTTTAGAAATAAAACATGCTTAAAACACTAGCACTCTTCCAAAATTTTGTCTATACAGTCTCTGATAACTGACACATGTGCTCTGAAATATTGCATCAATATGTCTGTGCAGTAACAATCTTGAGTATGCTGTTCAGGTGTGTATCTGTAAGCTGCAAACCTACTTTTGATTTATTGACATTTATTACAAAAATCTCATGCTCAGTGTCCTAGCTTAGGACCCACAGGAAAACATGAAATGGCTGAGCATTGCAACCTTTTGTACATAAGTTGCTTCATGTGCTGATCAAGAACCTGAGAAGGCTTCGTGTTTGTCCATAAAACTATACTCTTCCCCAGAGAAATAACTACAACTTCCTACAAAGGGGGTGAACTTGGTCTGGACACACACACTCAGTCTAATCCACCTTACTGGCTTGTTGTTATTCCTCCTCTAAAATAGTTCACATTGCTTTCCTGATGAGAAAGACTGGATCATGAGGGCATGAAAGGGGGGGGGGGGGACTGAGTTGAACCCAGGAGAGCCCTGGCATAAAGAGCTCAACGAGACACACAGAAGCTCATACCGTGAACAAAACTTTGTTGGTCTTAAAGGTGCTTGGTAATCTTCCATGCGATTGAAGCAGCCCAGCAAAGCAAACTCTCCCTCATTCCTTCCCTCCCTTCAGGGAGGAGCCTCAGCCAGTGGAAGGAAAGAAAGATTTCCTTCCCTTTTCTCCTGCAGCCTTGCCAGGAAGCAAGCTCTGGCTGTTCCCTCCCTCCCCCTGGGAGGAGGAGGGGGAGGAGCCTCAGCCAGTTCTTTACCAGACTCTCCCAATCGCACAGGAGAGCCTTGCCTATCTACTGTGCGATTGAGAGAGACTAGTAAAGCAAACTGTAACATGGCGGCAGCAGCAGAACTGCAAATGAAAGTAGGAAGCAGCCAGGGCCTTGCAGGCCTAATTGGGGTCCTCCAAGGGCCTGATCTGGCCCATGTGTCACATGTTTGACACCCCTGATTTAGAAGGTTGTTTAAGGATTGCCGAATAAGGCAACTCTACTGGTATGGTAAAAGGCATACAAACTTTGAGAAATTACTGGAGGAACTGCTTTGAGCCTCCTTGTATGTAGAAACAGAAAGGATATAAATAAAAATTCATCTTGTAATCTTTGTGCAGACTGTAAATTAAAGTGTGCAGTGTTGCTACCCATTTATCACTAATGCATTATTCCTCTTTGCTCCTATAGGCACTTTCTAAGCAAGACTGGCCTGATGAGGAACCAATAGAAGCAGAAAAGGATTTTTGGGAATTTGCTTCTCTTGAGTGTTACGACCATCTGACAGAATGGAAATCTTTGGAATATTGTTCCACTGTTAACATTGATGATAAACAGCCCCCAGACCTAAATAAAACTTGGAGCAATCCATTTTATCAGGTTTGAAAAAAATATATTTGCCTGTACAGTTTCTAGCTTTACAAAACTGTATTTATGTATTGTACCATAGTGTTTGAGTCAACTTCTTAGACCCTGTTTGTGTGTTAAGCCAAACTGCAGAGCATGCAGAATATATGCAATTTATCTCTCAGTACTCCCCCCCCCTTTCTTGGGGCAAACAGCAACTATATGGAAAACAGGGTAGGTGGGAGGGCGGGGTATAAATGGAATAAAATAAATAAATAATAAATAAGTTAAGCTCCACTGCCACTGAGAACAAACTGGCAGCCTTTACATTTGAGTTCAAAAGAGAAAAAAAGTCAGGAGATCAGTCCCAGATTTCACCTGAGGAGAGGTTTCAGTCAAGCATTGGAGATGTAAAATCTCCAGAAAATTTAAAACCATGGGGAAACACCCACCCCCCATCTCAACCTTGAAAAATTGAGATTTGGAGGAAGGTGAAATATGTACAATACAAAGGTGGTTTTAAAACACATTGCAGTTGTAGGAGTTTTTTTCTAGTGCTCCTCAAAATACTTTTAGGCTCAGCTAAAATTTGTCCTAACAAGCATTTCACTTATTCCACAGAAAAATAAAATAAAATTTAAAAAATCCATGGGACTTTTATTCAGTGCTTCCCCAAATTTCCAATTTTTCTATTTTTTTCCCTCTGAGCCTTCACATCTGTATGTAGTATTAGTCTCTGGTTAAAATGTTCCACTGTGTGTTTTAATTAATGTGTTTTAATTATGACATATTTTAAATATTTTGTATTGTATTAGTGTTTTGTTTTGGTGATACGATTGTTAGCCGCCCTGAGCCTCCGGGGAGGGCGGGATAGAAATGTAAATAATAAATAAATAAATAAATGAAAAACAACTACATTTGAACTGCATATTGTCCGAATACACTTGTTAAAACATCAGTCTCATAGATCATAGTAACAGGTTCTGCATGACTTCCATATGGTTGTAGGCCAAAAGCAGCATGATGTGCCAAAAGCAGTATTCACTTTCACCGTTCTGTCCTCCCTTGTAGGAAACCTATCTACCATATATAATTCGCAGCAAGCTAAAACTGCTCCTTCATGGTGGTGATGACCAGTCCTTGTTGACATTTATTGATGAAGCTATGAAGACAGAACAGAAGAAAGCTTTGATAGAAATGTACTACAGTCAAGAGCTGAGTCTTCTCTACATTTTGCAGGATGATTTTGATAGAGCCAAATACTACATTAGTAATGCCATGCAGGTGTTCATGCAGGTAACATTCAAGTATATCTGATGCAGTTCTCTAAAATCCGTGCAGCTATGGCATGTTGATATTAGTTAAACTTTCTTGCATTATCCATCTTGAGGAATCCTTTTAATATTTTTCTAACATCAAATGAAGTTTTTTAGAGGGGTGTTAGAGACACAGTTGATTGATTGTGATGGAGAAATTAGGGTTCAGTTGAAGGGGTCCAACTAAGTAAAACTATGTTCAGTAGAAGCCAAGTCTTTATTCAGTTGACCATGGTCAAGAAAAGTATCTATCTCTACGAAAGCTCAAGATGGTGACAACTTTACAGACAAAAGCATAGGCATATATAGGCTAATTGACATCAGGGTCTTGCAGAACGGTTACACCATTTACACAGTGACAATACTGCACCAAATCTAAACCAATAGAAAAGCAATCCATACTTCCTTCTTGACATACTTTTAAGAATACTGCTACCTTATCTATGGTACACTACAAGTGCAACACAAACTGCGGACTACTATAGTTTAAGAAAACAGGATCTATGTTAAAGGTTAGTTTGCCCTGTGAGGCGAGGAATGCAGTCTTTTGGAAACTTCAGCTGAAAACACAGATAACAGTGCTGACTCAGCACTGGGTCAAATGTTCCCCTCAATTCTTTACTTGGCCTTCACAGACATGGCTACACTGTGGCTCATTCACATTTCACCTTTTCCCCCTTCAGTCGCTGGCTTTTTATATTTTTATATATTATAATAATAATAATAATAATAATAATAATAATAATCTTTATTGTCATTGTACATGGTACAGTGAAATTAAAGGTGCATACATTCGGTGATCTACAACTCACACAACCATTCACAACCATCCCATAACTCCCTTAAGGTTCACATTGCAACTTAAACCACCAATGTCACCCAAATTCCAATTTCATACAGCATTTAAAGCAATAATAGCTCTCGAATAAAAACTATTTTTTAATCTGTTTGTCCTTGTTTTAAGTGACAATAATCTTCTGGGCTGTGATGATAACTCTCTGGAGTGCTTTCCTCTCCACAGCTGGCCAACCAGGCACAGACGCAGTATGTTAAAATGCTCTCTATTGAGCAACAATAGAAGAACATCAGTATTTTCTCACTCAAGTTATTTTTCTTTAAAAGTCTGAGAAAAAAGAGCCTCTGCTTGGCCTTCTTCACCAGAGCAGTGGTGTTAGCGCTCCAGGTCAAGTTTTGCTCAATAATCACTCCCAAAAACTTAAAAGTAGCCACCCTCTCTACACATTCTCCACCAATAAACAGTGGCTGGATGTCCGTTTTGTTCCTCCTATAGTCCACTACCAATTCCTTGGTCTTGGTGGTGTTGAGAATCAAATTATTTTCCCTGCACCAAACACAAAGCTGTTCCACCTTGTCCCGATAAGCAAGACTCATCATTCCCAGAGATGAGCCCCACCACAGTGGTGTCATCAGCAAACTTGATGATGGTGTTACTGGGGTGGGTGGGGGTACAATCCTGTGTGTAGAGGGTATAGAGCAAGGGGCTCAACACACAGCCTTGTGGAGAACCGGTATTAAGGGTAAGGGCTGTGGACATATAGGACCCTACTCTAACCTTCTGGGGGCGGGCTGTCAAAAAGTTCAAAATCCAGAAACATATGGAGCTGGAGAGTCCAAGGCCCTCCAATTTGGACACTAATCTATCTGGGAGGATGGTATTAAAGGCAGAACTAAAATCCACAAACAACAGCCTCACATAACTCCCCGGCTGCTCCAGATGTGACAGAGCAGTATGCAGAGTATTCACAATGGAACTGTCATTGTTCTCATCATTGTCTTCCTCACTTGTTGAGGGTTCTGTATACAAACTCTGCCATACACTGCAGAGTTTGCATGACTTTCCTGTAGGTACAAGCTCATGTCTTAAGATCATGGCCTTAAGTATCATCTTTTGTTCCCCATCTATCTCTTTATAAAAGAAATCCAATCTGGATTGCGTTCTGAGGAACTCAAAAGCTTGCACACTGGTCTGTGTAATTTGGATTGGTTTTAGTAAAAAGTATAACATGGATTTTTTTCCTTGAAGGGTTATGCTGTAGTGACGTTGGTGCAGTCTTCATTTCCATGGGCATGAAAAGGGTAAATTAGGTTGCTCTTTAAAATTCTGACTCTTTGAAATTGTCTGGGCGAAATGATGTCAGCGGGGAAATCATAGCACATAGGAAATATATTGGCTAGCAGTTCAAAATGTATTATGTTTTTATACAGAACTATTCCAGTATTGATTCAGTGTTACATCAGAGTCGACTTACCAAGCTGCAGTCAATTCAGACTTTAACTGAAATACAGGGTTTTGTCAACTTTATAAGCAGATCAGGTAACTTTATTTTTCTTTTTTTATGAGATGCTTTTGCATAGGTTTAGTAGATACATCATTACCATTGACTTTTAAGCTTATAACAAATTTAAGTCCAGGTCCAATGTAATCTGGTAAGGTGTCATCTTTTCTTAATGGGTGATGTTCCTGTTATCAGCTTTTTTGATCAGTTGCTTCTGATTCAGAGAGTTACGGTACAGGAAGATTAGGATGCTTTGAATCTTGTGTCTGCATCAGAAGCTGTTTTTTGTCAAGCAGGAAACAGACAACAACAGATTCTAGTGAGCAGTAAAACTGATTTTAAAAAATAAACAATTATGCAATTGTCTCACTGGTCAGAAACATTGCACACCAAATATTTAAGTAAAATCTGGTACTGTCTGTGCTAGTTCCTCAGGGTTTAAACGTCTTGTCCTGCATTGTCTGGCAGTAGACTTGATTTTTAATTTTTTTAACAAAGGTAATATAGCTTCTCAGGCATCCCTGAAGAGACTTATCAGTATTTGGATGAGCAGATATCCAGATTCCAAAATGGATCCTATGAACATTTGGGATGATATCATTACAAACAGGTAAGTGCTTGCTTAGTTAACTGTTACTCAGCTAAGAGTTTGTATATTTGCTTGTTCCTGGAGAAATAAATAGTTCTACTTAGAGGTGTGCAAAAAAGAAGGCATTTTTCAGGTTCAGGTATACTGAACTCAAAAAATATTGGTGTTTTCCGACATTCCAGAATCCCGGTATGGTATTCGGATTTGGGATTTTTTGGAAATCCCATTTTTCCCACAGCTCCGTAATACCCTAGGGGGACCATTATTTCAAAAGAGGGAGTTTTTCTAAATTTAAGGAGTTAGTCTAAAGGAGTTGCAAAGAGGGTATGTTCTTGAGGATGCTTGGAAGTTATTTAAATCCTCAATAATTAAAGCTCAGATAGAATATATACAACAAATCAGGAAAGTTATCATGAAATCTATGAGGACACCAGCATATTGAATGAGTAGGGTCAAGAAGGCCATAACAGGGAAAGTGACTTCTTTTAAAAAGTGTTGGTGTTTCTCAGATGAGGAGTAGAAGAAGGAGTGTGAGCCCTGCAAATAAAAGAAAAGAAAAGAAAGCTGACAATAACGAAAGTGGAAAAAAGAATGTAGGTTTGCTAAGAGTATTAAGACAAACAATAAATCTATCTTTAAATACATCAGAAGCAGTAAGGTAGGTAGGCAATTGCACTGTTAGGTGAAGTAATGAAATGATTGCTAAAGGGAGATAAGGGAACCAGTAGAGAAAGAAATGACCAGTTGTTACTTTTACGCATGCTGGAAGTGCAGTTTTCACAGAACGTGTCTGAAAAACTGTGTTAAATAGAGGTGATGAGGTGAAGTTTCAGAGCTGACAAATCACTGGATATGAATGGCATGTACCCAAGATCAAAGAGTTCAGTTATTTAAGAGTTTCGTTATTGTCAAAGGCTATAGAATTTGAGGCTATAAAAAGATGACGAGAGCGGGGCACGTGATAGATGTTTATAAAAGTAACACTTTGAAATATTGGTTGAGCGGCGGACAGCAGCAGGGGGAAGCTTTGTCCTTTGTACCTTTCTGTTAGACCTGCTGGCAGCATCTGATTGGCCACTGTGAGAAACAGGACTTCAGATAGACCTCTGGTTTGATCTTATGTTCTTACAATATTCCCCTCCAGCTTGCCTTATAGAAAAGTGTGGTAAGGAATGAAATAATCTCTGTAGTCATAGTTACACTTCGGTAAGCATTGTGTTCGTGTTCTTATTTTTGTGTAGATGTTTCTTTCTTAACAAAATTCAGGAGCGACTTCCTAATACCCACTTGGAAGACAGTATGGAAGTAGATGGAGGAGGAGATGCTAATGACAACATAGAAGGGGGCAATGAGAAGGAAGACATACATTCCATGATTAGAAACTGCAAATTTAGCATGAAGATGAAGATGATAGAAAGTGCTAGGAAACAGGTGACTGTCCTGTTTTACTACCTTCTAATTTGTTGCAAAAATCATAGAAAGTAGATTTGGATAAGACCAGTCAGAGAAGTATATGACTAATAATTTCCTCGTACATTTTAAGTGCTTTGAGACATCCGTTCTTACCATAATTGCCTTCAAATTTAGAATGCTAGAGAGGCCTTTCTAAAGGATAACGTCTTAATTATACATTAATCTGTACTTCAGCAGTAATCTTTGAAATTCTTATTTGCATTTTTTTACTCTGGATTTTTTTAGCTGCTGTGAGGTACCTTTAATAAGGACTATTGTGATTGCTCCTTCTTATGGTATGCTGTGAATCAGAATGATGTGAGGGATGGGATGGGGGATGATTTCATGGCTGGAGCTTCCTTCCTGCTCTAGGTTGGGAAGTTGAAATTTGAATGAGATTCAAATCTGTTCTGGCTCTGTGGATTTTGTTTACTCCTTCCATTCCATGAACAATGACAAAGTAAATTACTTGAACACATGAATATGTCTTGTTGGTTTCAGTGGCATGTAGCATGTGTGTAAGACATTGGAGGGGCAGGTTTGGACTCAAGCACATTCTGAGCTTTGAGTAGTAGTTCAAGCAATCTAACAGCCAGCATGGTGCAGTGGTTAGAGTGTTGGACCAGGATCTGGGAGGGACCAGGTTCAATCCCCCCAGTCAGCCACTGAAGCTCACTGTGGGATCTTGGACCAGTCACACACTCTCAGTTTTAACCTACCTCACAAGCTTGTTGTGAGGATAAAATGGAGAGAGGCGAATGATGTATGCTGCTTTTATCTCCATTGGGGCAAAAAGCAAGGCATAAATGAGGTAAATAAGTAAAAATAATAACAATGCCTGTATCCTGTACATAGTATGGACATTACTTGTGCTGAATAAAACAACGTTATTGGTGAAATCTGGTTAAATGGAAGATTACAGAAATGCATATGGTAAAATCACCTCCAAATCTTTGGCCAGTATGTCTTCCTGCTATGAGAATAAAAGCAATTGTGACTTGTTAGCAAGTAGCACTTCTTCAAACCATATTTTTTGAAGTGTAGACCTTTTGAGTTGGATCCAACCAACTTTTCTGCTGGAGAAAAAGAAAGAAAAGATCGTCTTTGACTGCCCAAAACGGCCGTGCTACGATCATGGTTACAGGGTGTGCAAAAGCCATGTGGGATGGGGGCTGTAATAAGGAATGGGATTATGTGATACTGGGTGGGAAAAGTTGGCTGAATCCAATACTTTGCTCCTTGACAACTTTTGTGCATAGAGTACAAATCACAGGAACCCTACTGCTTTTTATTCTCTTCTTTCTCATCTCATGGGACCACATGTCCCCCTGATTTGGCTTCCTTTTTTCCTTTTATACCCTTGGAAACTCATTGGTTCTCAGATCTTGAGCAGCAGAAGGTGCTTGCTTCTTTTTTGTTGTTGTTTTTGATGCAAGAGCTAAAAAGACTGAGAGAAATTTTGCAGTTGCTGGAGTATACTTATTGCTGAGCAAAAGAGCCAGGGTTTCCAGAGTATAGGGGGATGGTTGGTTGATTAAAGGCTTAATATAGTGATCCCTTATATTCTCAAAGAACATGCATTCAAGCAGGGCATGGAAGAATGTATCTATCCTATTAAGGCCACAAAGGCAGATTTTGTCCAAAAATCTTCCCTGTAAAACCATTGTAGGAATAATATTCAATCTTGCAAACAAAAAATCTCTAAGGTAACGTGGGATGGTAAGATAGTACATATAGGGGGGTATAGAAAGACCAAAAGATAGGGGTGAGCAATCTCAGTGGGCTCTCAGGATCAGACTACTATAATAAATTTCTAGGACACACTTTTTGATCAGAGAAAATGCTTTGGATTTGCCCATCTCAAAAATATCATTAATCGACATTCCAATTATCATAAATTTCTCATCTAGGGCTTTAATCCAAGTTGATTTGTGGGTATCTCAATTGAGAATGGCTAACAAACCATCTTTGGCACAGAGCAGTTTTAATCTCAGTTTGAAGGCATAAAGCCATGCCCTGGCTTCCAAGGATATCTGTCCGAATTCTGCCCACAATACAGCATTTAGCAGGGAATATTCAGTATTTTCCTTAAAAATTGGGCTAAGGGTTGATTGATGTTATCGGAGATAGCTTTAATCCAAATAGCTGAACCATAAAGGATGAGGGGAACCACTTTCAACTTGTGCTGGCACTTGCACGTGGTTTAGCTTTATTAAGCCCTGTTCTAAGTTGGGGGTCCAAGACAGATCTGCTGAAAACAAAATCCCCAAACAGGAGAAAGTCTTGACTTGTTCAGTATTAGACCCATTGATAGACCATTGAGACGGGTTCCATTTTCTGCTCTTGGTGAAAACTAGGATCTTAGATTTCAAATGGTTAATCACCAGGCTTTGTTGAGAGCAATACTTAGAAAAAGATTGCAAGGCCCTTTGCAGCCCGACCCTAGATCAGGACAAGATCACAGCATCATCTGTGTAGAGCAGAATAGGCACCCCAATCTCAGCTAGTCTTGGTGGGTGGCAGCAGTCATTAAAGATTGTTGCTACATCATTAAAATATAAATTAAACAAAAAAGGTGCCAACAAGCATCCCTGTTGTACTTCCCTTTTCCAAATTAAATGGATTTGTTAAATTCCCATAATACCCAAATCGTACGTGGGCAGTCGAACCTGAATATAAATGTTGAATGACTACTAGGAGTCTTTTGTCCATAGTAGTTGGATTAAGTTTGTTGCACAATCTAGGGTGATTTATAGAATTGAAGGCTCCCTTGAGATCAATAAAAGCTGCATATACATCCTCCGTAAAAGATGAGTATTTCTCGTCCAGGTGTTAAAGAACTAGGCAATGGTCGCATGTCGAAAAATCCCGCCTAAATCCTATCTGTTCATGTCCCAATAAGGTTTTTGATTCCATCCAATCCAGATAAGCAGAGTATAGCTTTCCTAAAGAAGAAAGAAGGCTGATTGGTTGATAACAGCATGGATCACTTCTGGACCCCTTTTAAAATATTGGGACAATAACAGAATGTTTCCATAAATTGGGAATTTGTCCAGTGCTGTTAGTGAAAATTGGGGCCAGAACTGTGGCCCATCATTGTGGATCAGCCTTAAATAGCTTGTTAGGGATTAGATCAGAACCTGGGGCTTTTCCTAGTTTTAATCCCTTGATAAGGCAAATGACCTCCTTCATTGATACCTTGGACCAAGATGCTGTTACATCAAGAGGAATAATACAGGGTGTACTTGGTGTACTGGCACTAGCACTGGAGAACAGCTTCTTGCAATAGTTGTCCCCTGTCAGAGGGGCATGCCACAGTTGTTGTTAGCAGTGTCATTGAGCTTTTTCACTTTTGTCTGTTTAATGCAGAACAGCTTCTCGGTAGCCATTAAACTTCTTAAGGACCTGCACAGAGATTCTAAGACCAGAGAAGACTGGCTGGTGAGATGGAACCACAGCTACTGCCGCTTCAGTCACAGTCGCAGCCGGAGCCAGAGTAATCCTGAACAAATCCTTACAGTACTCAAAACAGTTTCACTACTAGGTAATGTGATTTTGTGTAGGTTTTCTCTGATGCATAATGTAATCATGCTCTATTAAAAAGGATTTTTAATGTAGTTCTACGGATATACAATATTTGTATCAGAATGCCAATTTTATAATGTAATAATACTATATAATATATGGTCTAGCAGATGAAGCCAGCTCTGGCACCCTGAGCAAGGACAGGCTAGCCTTCCGGAACCAGAATCTTCTCCTGGGCACCACTTTCCACATTATGGCCAATGCCCTTTCCAAGGATCCAAGATGTCTTGAGCAGATTGTGGAAGAAAAAGCAAGAAAAGTCTTAGTGCTTTCAGGAGAAAAGACTGATGATATTGGAAAGGTGAGAAGTTGTTACACATCCCTGTGGTGATCAGGAAGGCCCCCTCACCCTGCAGACTCCGTAAAACAGAATTGTTCAGGAGGGCATTTTTGTAAACGGCTGTGCAGGACAATCTTTTTGGCTCACTATAAGCCAAAAGTCAAGGAAGGAAAAGCTGGAGGGGGAAAAAGTGAGATGATAGTAATGAAACACTTCCTCAGTGGGTTAAGAAACTTCACAGAACTTGGCAGCAGCCAGGGTGGTGGGGGCATCTCCTCCTCACTGAACGCCGGCTTCCCTCCCCATGCTGGTACACCAGAAAAAAGATGATTGCAGAAAAAGTTTAAGAGCTCTGGGCTCCTCAGGAATTGTTCGTGTCCTGCCCACTTTGGAAAACCCCTTTTTATTTACACCATATTCCTCCCCAAACCTGTTGCTGGGTCTTTTCCTCTGGTCTCATTTGAAGGGTTCCCCCCCTTCAGTTTCTAGATATAGTAGGAACGCCCTCTTTCCTGTCCATTCCCACCCCCACCCCCTTTGTCCCCACCCCTTCCATCCATTACCTGGATCTCTGATTGAGGAATGAATGGCCACAGAGCCCTAGTTCTTCTCAGGATCAGTCCCTCACACTTAACGTCTGCAGCAAAACTCCCACCAGGAAAGGTTCGTGCAAAGAAAACAGACCTCTCGTCCCCCCCCTTGCAAAAAAAATCCAGCTTGGAGGAGGAGGAGTTGGATTGTGGATCACAGTTTAGTTGACTTTTGCTCTGTGTGAAGGTACCAAGGGCAAATGGCCTTCCCAGGAGGGCTTTAGGACACCTCCGCAAAGGCATGCAGAACCCACAGCCTCTCATCCCCGATCGCTTTGCTTTTGGAGGGCTGCCTCTCAGAATACGGAGTTCCTGTGCAAAAGGCACTTCTATGTGGAAAACTGGGAAACTGCATATAATGTGTGATAGGCATGGTGGGCACAGAATTCTGTGGGTTCCATATGCATGGGCAGAGGCATCATAAAGCCAGCCACCACCAGCGGGCTCACTAGTACTGTGGCAGCCCACAGGGGCACGTACAGCAGCCACACCATCGGGACTTGAGAGAGGGGGGTGTCAGTTGTCACTTATACCCAGAATTAAACTTCGTTGGTCTTAAAGTTTTATTCTAGGTATAACCTTTCATGTGCACGCACAGTTCTTCAGATACAATGAAATGGAAATTACCAGTCCATACATATAGGTAGAGGGTGAGCAGTAAATTAGCGTACAGCATAGTGAAGATGTTTAACAGATTCAAGGATCAAACAGGAATAACAAGCTTAGTTTATATGGTTTCGATTTCTTTGGGTTTAATTCTGGGGGAAAGCACAGTGAAGTAAATAAATATGCCAAAATTGGAGTTTGACAAACAGATGTATCCTTAACTGTGGAATGCAGGGTCTTAAAGGTGCCACTGGACTCAAACTTTGTTCTGCTGCTTCAGACCAACACGGCTACCCACCTGAATCAACTCGCTCACAACTTTAATGCCAGTAGTTCTTTTGGCTCACTAAGTAGAATTTTTGCCCACAAGGCTCCGCAGCTTACAGGGAACATTGCCCCTCATCTCTGAAGGTGGGACTGTAACTGGCACGCTGTATCCAAACAGTAGTTTTCTGGTCCTAAGCTATTTAGAGCCTTAGCACTGAATTGTGCCCAGAAACAGATAGGGAGCAATGCAGATCTTTCAGCACAGAGGGGGTGTGTGGTCCTTGTATCTAATGCCTGACAAAGCCTGAGTTGAAGTTTCTGGCCAATTTTCAAAGGCATCCCCATGTAAAGTGTTTTCTGGTTTCTTCATGGTTTCTGGATGGTATTCTCCTTTCCACTGAATTTGATATCTGACTAGGCAGAACCACAAAGACCCAGAACAGTTTACCTACATGAATGCATATCAAATATTACATTTTTGTAATATAAATTCCAATTCTAGATTAAAATGTTCCATTACCCCCTTAAATATGATAAGATGTGAGTTCAGTTGTGACAGTGGTTTCCAACAGTGGCCAGTGTTCGAGATCAAAGCATGATAGAAATTCCCATCCTTTTTTGAAATCAAAAAATTTTGTTGGAAATATTCTGATTCTGAAGATAACTAAAGATATAATTTTCTTTAATAGCCATTTATGACCTTTTTCTGTGTTTTGAGTAGTTTTTTCAGTCAGAGCTGGCAGCAACAGGAGCAAGGGCTCACTTTTCCAGTTGAGGGGAGTGTCCACTCCCCCCCCCCCGTTCTCTCTCTTTCTGCAGCCATTTTCTATTTCTGTGGGCAATTTCTGTCTATTGACACTGCGTTTTTCTTCCCACCTTTTGTGTGCATTGGTGGCTGCATCAAGAGTATTTTGTACCTATGCTTAGAAAACCATATAGTAGACAGGTGTCCTTTGGAATGTTAACACTTTCTCTTAAATGTTTTCCTTGGATATTTTGTCTCACGCTGTAGGTTATAGCAGGTTTGAACACAAGGGCATTCCAGTGTTTCAGCAGTGCAGTGAGGAAAGCTGAAGAAGAAATTCAGTCCCTCTCTTTTGACCATATAAACACAAAGAGCATCATTGATGCTTATATGATATTGGCTAATTTCTGTGACACTCATCTCCGTAAGAAAGAAGAAGGCTCAGCAGGTGAGTAAAAGATTTAGTGATTCATTCCAGTTGCTAACTGTGCAGAAGATAGATGGGGAAACATGCATAATTCAGGCCAGATTCATGCATAAATCCTTCTTTGTTCTGACATTAAGTCACCCCCATGTCAGTTTTACACAGTGAAAATGTTGACACAAGGTGAGAGTTGGTGTAGTCATGGCTTGGTTGAATTTTGGCTTTCACGATTACTCTGGCATGGTAAATATGAATTCTCTCTATGTTCAGGATGCAAGTAAAATAACTCCATGCAAAACTGACATAGTAAAATCAACCCATGAAGCTTTCACTTCATGGACAATTAAATTGCAGATTAATTTTAAAGTAGCTGCCCAATGCAGTACAGCAACATTCAGATGGATCCCTTTCAGCCAGCATGTGTGTGAAGCAGTCTCTTTGCCATGCTTTGCATGACACTTACTGTTCCCTTCTTTGCTCTCATGTGGAAAATCTGGTTAGAAATGAACTCCAGTTATCTGTGGCAAAAAATTGCATGAGAAAGGGTTAACTGAAGATAGTTTCTCCCTCCAAAATCAGGATTATGAAGTAGAATTTAATCCAAGTTTAGAATCCTGGTTTGTTGGGGGGAAACCAACTCTTTTAGCCTGTGCCACCTGCATTTAGAAGTCATTTCTAACCAGAGTTCGTTTCTAACTGAGATTCTCTGTGGGAAGGAGTACAAACATTGACTTTAAAGTGACATTCTACTGAGCCATAACTACCATTAAAGAAGTTGGTAATGAAGGGCAATGCCAAGGAATGTTCAAACTATTGCACAATTGCACTCATATCACATGCTAGCAAGGTCATGCTCAAGATCCTCCAAGCTAGGCTTCAACAGTACGTGGATAGAGAACTGCCAGAAGTACAAGCTGGGTTCGAAGAGGTAGAGTAACTAGAGATCAAATTGCCAACATTCGCTGGATTATGGAGAAAGCAAGAGAATACCAGAAAAACATCTACTTCTGCTTCATTGACTATGCTAAAGCCTTTGACTGTGTGGATCACAACAAACTATGGCAGGTCCTTAAAGAGATGGGAGTACCAGACCACCTCACATGTCTCTTGAGAAACCTGTATAAGGGTCAAGAAGCGACAGTTAGAACTGGATATGGAACAACTCATTGGTTTCGCATAAGAAAAGGAGTACGACAAGGATGTATATTGTCACCTTGCTTATTTAATATATATGCAGAGTACATCATGCGAAATGCTGGCCTGGATGAATCACAAGCGGGAATTAAGATTGCTGGGAAAAAGATCAACAACCTCAGATATGCAGACGATACCATTCTAATGGCAGAAAGTGAAGAGGACCTCAAGAGCCTCTTGCTCAGGTTAAAAGAGGAGAGTGCAAAAGTGGGGTTGAAGCTCAACATCAAAAAAATTAAGATCATGGCATCCGGCCCCATCACTCCTTGGCAAATAGAAGGGGAAGTCGTGGAAGTAGTGACAGACTTCACGTTCCTGGGATCCCAGATCACCACAGACTGTGACAGCAGCCATGAAATTAAAAGACGCCTGCTCCTTGGGAGGAAAGCGATGGCGAACCTAAACAGCATGATAAAAAGTAGAGACATCACCCTGCCATCAAAAGTCCGCATGGTCAAAGCAATGGTATTCCCAGTAGTCATGTATGGCTGCGAGAGTTGGACTATAAGGAAGGCCGAGCGACAAAGAATAGATTCTTTTGAACTATGGTGCTGGAGAAGACTCTTGAGAGTCCCTTGGACTGCAAGATCAAATCAGTCAATCCTAAAAGAAATCAACCCTGACTGTTCCCTGGAAGGCCAGATAATGAAACTGAAGCTCAAATACTTTGGCCACCAAATGAGAAGGGAGCACTCACTGGAGAAGACCCTGATGCTGGGAAAGATTGAAGGTCAAAGAAGACAGGGATGGCAAAGGATGAGATGGTTAGACAGTGTCATCGATGCAACGAACATGAAATTGAGCCAACTTCAGAGGACGGCGGAAGACCGGAAGGTCTGGCGTGATCTGGTCTATGGGGTTGCGAAGAGTCGGACTCGACTGTGCGGCTGAACAACAACAACAAATGATTTTGTATGTAATATGCTTCTCTTCATAAATTCTGGTTGCCCCAAATCCAAGGGAATTGAATTTGCTTATTGTCATCAGCATTAGGCTTTTTAGACTTCATGCTGGCCAACCAGCAGTATTCATGAGTTAATCTCCCACAGGGAAAAGAATGCTCGGGCCATGGAACCCTCAGTGAAATCCCCTGCAATCCACATTGTCACAGTTAGGAAGCTCCTGTATATGTTTTCACAAGGCACTTCTATGCACTGGATAAAGGCAGCAATTTCTAATGTTACTAATGTGAGTATTGTATTTTTTTTGTTTGCTTCTTGTCAGATATAAATGCTGTGGATTTGCAGATGTTCCCTGCCATTGTAGTGGAAAAAGTCATCAAAGCTTTAAAACTGGATTCAAAAGAAGCTAGACTAAAGTTTCCCAGGTTACTGCAAATCGTAGAGAAATACCCAACAGAGACCTTGGGCCTCATGGCACAGGAGGTAAGGCTTTCCATCATCTTGCACAGGCAGCCAGTAAGAGGATGGGTCATAACAGATGACTGGATGAATATTAGTGGAATTATGATGTTTATTTGGAAGGTGGTTGTTTTTTTTGTTGGTTTTTTTTTTGTAATTGCCCTATTTTCCTTGGGCTGACGTGGATAATTTTTGTTCTAAGCAACGTAAGGATATGGTGGCCATCAAAAGGAACTATTTGCACAAAGGTGAAGCATCTATGCTTGCTTCTTCTCTCTTTTGAACACATCACTTTTAATAACTGAAGAATCAAACACCTTCCTTCAATTGCTGTTCCACAGACGAAGTATGCACAAGGGAGTCTTCTTCACATCCATTTTAATGGATTTTAGAAAGATGTAACATTGCACTGTTAGCTGAGTCAACATTTGATATCCAGGAATATTTCTAGATGAACAAGTTACAATAGGAAACTTTTATTTGCTTTTATGTTTGGTTCATTAGCTGGAATTACATCTCTGCGTTTGTTTTTTGCTCATATTGACAGATATTGTTGTGTGTATTACAGATCTCTTCAGTTCCCTGTTGGCAGTTCATTGGCTGGATCAGCCAGCTGATGGCAATGCTTGATAAGGAGGAAGCACTTGCTGTGCAGTATACAGTGGAAGAAATTGCTAACAGTTACCCACAGGCAATAGTGTATCCCTTCATGATCAGCAGTGAAAGCTTTTCTTTCCAAGATACCATAATTGGCCATAAGAATAAGGAGTTTGTAGCAAGGTAATTGTCACAGGAGCTCGGTGATGACCCGTCGCTGTCCTCGTAACTCGAGCTCCCCTGTCCTCCCAACCCGGCCACGACAACTCCCCCTTCTGGTCACTAGGAGAATTCAGGCCTCAGACACCTGGATGGGGGAGGGGGTTGCGTCACCTCCCTACCCACGCATCCCTGCTGGATGGGGTGCCCTCTCTCTCTCTGCTTCACCCTCACCCAGGAGTCATCCCTGGCCGTCTCCTCCCTCCTCCTTTTATACCTCCTCCCAGCCTCCCCTGCTCCCTTCGGTGCTCTTTCCTTCCCCTGCCCCCCCCCCTTACAAAGCCGTTGACGCGGCCCTGGGTTGGGGTCCGGTCTGCTTCCGGTCCTCCCAGCCCAGGCCGCGGGGCTTGGCTGCGTGGGTGGGCTCTTGCGCTGGACCGCAAGACAGGCGCAGCCACCTCTCCTCCGGCGTGCCGCTTCTTGGGTGCGCCGCCAGCAGCTACCCGGGGCCTGAAGGAGGGCCTTGGCGCTGGCGTTGGCACGGCCTGTCTCCCTGCCTCTGGCCCCCTCCCAGCCCCCTGGTCGCTGGCGCGAGGGGGGGGCGGGAGTCCCGTCCTCGAGACAGTAATATTTAAAAAGGACAAAAAATGTTGGGAATAAATGGCCTCATTATTAGTTTTGATTAAATACACTTTCTTAAAAAATTATATCACAAATGATTAATAAAATTAGTTTTAGGCTGGAGTTTACGATGCTAGACATTTATATGTATGTTAAAAAAACTTTAAAGTTGTTGTTAAAGCCAGTGAATTTAGAAATAAAATCTGTGTTCTTTTACATATTTTTATGGGGCTTACTTCAAGCTCTGCCCTGCTCTTGGGAAGGATCTCTATTAACTTCCCCTTTTCAGCAGTCCTCTGCACCTTATAAAGAGCTGCTATGTGGGTCAAGGGTCCCTTGGCAGGAGTGGGGATCAATGCTTCCTCTAAGCTGTGGAGTCTTGTGAGCAAAAATTCTACTTTGTGAGCTATTGGCATTAAAGTTGTGAATGAGCGAATTGGCTGCTGCATATATCAGTTTGCTCTGGAGCCATCCTTCCTGAGCTGAGACACAAATCTGTGAGCTGGAGGCTAAAAAACAGTGAGGTAGCTCACACTAACTCAGCTTAGAGGGAACACTGGTGTGGAGACAGTGCTGGAGAGTGCATTTGGGATGGACTGCAGTGCTCCAGATCCTGCCCTTTATGTGAGCTTTGGAGTTTTTGCTCGGGGAAGAGTAACAGCTTTAGTTAGTTTAAAAGGCACAGGCAGAGAAGAAGGAGGTTGGTGGTTTAACAGTGATGCAATAAGGAACTATGTGGGATAGTTGTGCCTACAGTTTCTCAGCAATTTCAAGACGGGTAGCTGTGTTAGTCTACTCCGTTCGTAACAGTAGAAAAGAGCAACAGTAGCACCTTAAAGACTGATAAAATTTGTGGCAGGGTATGTGCTTTCATGAGTCACTGCTCACTTCTTCATGAGTTATTGCTCACTCACCAATTTCAGGAGAAGGTCCAATTGCAGAGAAACAGGTAACACATGGGTACCAGGAGAACTTGCTGTGGCTGTGTCCTTCAAGAAAAGTTGTAATGATAAGTGTCTAAAAAGGCCCTAAGAGAAGTTTTTAACATTTTATATCAATTTAAAGTATGTTTATCATTCCTTTCCTATAATTTTTAGGTGGGTTACAAAAGCAGTAATTTTAGAAGATCATTGGAACTCTATAATGGTCTTCCTTGTGGACCCTGATTGGGTAGAAAGGCGGCGAAATAAAATAAGTGATACACTGCAGCACACGGCAACCCTGTTATCCATTGACTTATAAAAAATGTGCAGCCTAATGTCTGGTAGCCGATTCAAAAGCAAGAGTAGTCTGTGTTGGGGTGTTTGTGTTCAGCTGCTGCCAGTTTACACTAAATGTGTCCCTGTTGCTCAAAATAAGGGTTTGTAGTGGTTTTGCGAAAACCCTTCAGTCCACTTAGCGAGCAATTGTGCAAAACAGCTTTTATATGATTGCTTTTGCAGCTCCTTTGTTCCTATAAATTAGGCCTTAAACCAGCTTTTAATGTGCCTAAGTTTTAAATTGAATAAAAATGCTTCTGTGGCAGCCCTTCTTTTCCCCTCTGAGGGGTGACGGTTGTATTGTCCATTATTGAACAGGGTGAAGAGCAAATTGGACAGAGAAGGAGTGGTGCAAGAGTTCGTCCAGGCTTTAGAGCAGCTTTCCAATCCTGTAATGCTGTTCAAGGTACAGTATCAAATTTTCATACTGTGGTATCCTCTAGGAGCTGATATTTAATGTTTGTGTATGAGAGCCAGTGTGATGTAGTGGTTAGAGTGTCTGACTATAACTGAGGCGGCTGGGTTCAGATCCCTGGGTGATTCCGCACTAGACCTTAAATCCTGGTTCAAACTTGTCCCCAAACTTACATTTTGCACTACACCCTGTAATCATCTAGAGGTATTTTTACATTCTACACTACACTCGAGTTCACCCCTGTAATTATCTCAGGGTATTATTTGTTTCCACATTACATTGAGGTCACCCTGGTTTTGCCCCACATTTGTCCCGGGATAAACGGATGCTGTTATAACCGGGGATAAATGCAAGGTATTGTGTCACGAGCAGCCCCATAGCTAAGGAGTTTTTTTGGGGGGGGCCACCAGCCAATTAAATCAAAGTTAATTAAATTAACTTTCATTTAATTGGTGGAATTCCTAAGGCAGTCCCAGCTGCAACCAAGGGCCTCCAGGCGAGAAGGACACGCAGGCGGGGTCCTTTGGTGGCGGAAAGTGCCGTCCAGTCACAGCTGCCTTAGGGCGACCCCCTGGTGGGGTTTCCCAGGCAAGAGATGTCTAGAGGTGGCTTTGCCCATGCTGGTCTCTGCGTCATGACTCCAGGGCATCCCTAGGCCCTCAAATGGCTCCAGCTGGACAAGCTGAAACCCTCCTCTCTCCTGGTGCCCCACGCTCTTGGTCCCAATCTGGTCCCTCCCAGGCGCCTGAGACTGTGCGTAACCACTGGCGACTCCCAGTGCACATCTGCATCCCAATTGGGTCCCCCCTGGGTGCCTGAGACTGTGCGTAACTGCCAGCGACTCCCAGCACACATCTGTGTCCCAGGAGTCCAGAGACAAGCCACGCCTGGGTTTTGCCTGGCTGTGCGCACAAGGGTCCCCTTTTGGAGAGGCGGGGAGGGACCGAGCTCTCTTCTCGGTGCTGCGCAGACGCTCCCCCCCCCACCGGCCTTTGTGTTGCAGCTGCAGAGCTGGGGGCACCCAAGAGGAGCGCTGTGTGCCTACCTCCTTTGGCCGGCCTCCAGCAGCAACCCATGATGGCACAAAACGGGACGGTCGGCCTCGCGGCTGGGCAGAGGTGGGGAGCAGGTAGACCGCCGGGAGGGTGTCTTGGAGAGGGGCCCGTAAAAACCGGGGGGGGCGTGGGTTCCGCGGTAGCTATGGGCCTGGTCACGAGTTGAACTCTGATAAAACCAGAGATGAGATACAAGTGCGGAAAGGACCTCCTTGAATAAACTTGGGGCAGATGCACATACTCAGCCAAACCTACAATACAGAGCTGGTGTGAAGGTAAAATTAGTAGAGTGACCAACCCCGTCTCACTCTTGCAGGAAGAGTGAGATGGGGAAAAGTACTAAACTATTTAATTTACATATTCAGAGTACTTTTCATACATCTCAGTAATGGTTAAAATTGTTTTCAGCCTTTCACTAGTACCTAATATGTTTAAACCTTTGTTTTCTGAATGCAAGAAGAGAAAATCATTTTAATGAAATTCTGTATTCACAGGACTGGACTGATGATATGAAAAATGAGCTGGGGAAAACAAAGAGAAATAAAGAGAACATTCTGAAATTATATGATGGAATGTACCAGAACTTGGGAAATGTACATGCTTCAGGTCTTGGCTTATTCCGAAAACGATTTATTGAGGTATGTATGGGTATCACGTCTCAGGAGCTGAATATCGCTGATCTATAGCAGGAGACCGCAATCTTAAAAAAAGAAGTTAAAAAAACAAACAAAAAGAAAAGATAGGAATGCAGAGAAAGAAGGGGAGGGGAATTGTTCATATACAAAGAACATTTTAAAACATTCACAGACATGTGAAATCAGTAATATTTTATATTTAAAGAGTTAATAACATAGGTATTTAAAATATTAATAACATATAAAGCATATATGTATCAGATATAGGATAAATAAAACGGTTTCTATTATAACAATTACATTGACTCTTAAGAGGTTTTATATGATGTTTTAAACTATATCTGTAATACTATGAGCAGTAGTACATAAAATAATATATTTCTTTTTGCATATTAAGAAATTATAATAGTCTAAAATAGTAGTACTAATACTGAGCAAATATAATATTAATAATAAAACTAATATTAAACAGTATGAAGATACATGCTGCAGACACTGCAGTTGGTAGAATCAAACGTATTCCCCCCAGTTTTAGTTCACTGATGTTACTGTAGTAGTCTGGGGCAGATTGGCCATTATTGCCAACAGGAGAGGTCCTGCTGGGCTGGTGGCCTAGGAGACCACCTGTCCTGAGCCCCACCCAGCCCCAGTAAGTTTTGCCCCCACCAACCCAGGCCCCATGGCGGGAGGGGATGCGGCAGCTGAGGGGGGGGGTCCCTTTCCAGGGCACCTGCTAGCAGTAGATACTTTTTGCTACAGGGCTGTTATGGTTTGAACTGGCAATTGAACGACACTACTGAGCTGCTGGGAAGAATAATGGCCTACTCGGTCCCCTTCTGTGTAAGCTTTATGCAAGTGTGTGTTAATTATACTTTGTAGTAACAGCCGTGGTTCTGCCAGGTAGATATTTTAGCTGGCCTATTAGACTTTGTATAACTGTGTAACTGTATCATTGTAATTTCAGATACCATGCAAAAAAAGTATAGGTTGAGTTTTTTCAGTTGGCCAGAGGTGGCACTGTGCTCATTCGATTCACTAGTCTAAAACATTTTTTTTTTGCCTATTACATTAACTCCTCTGTTGTAAATCAATTTCTACCTTAGAAATTTGGGAAGGAATTTGACAGTCATTTTGGAAAAAGAGGTTCCAAGCTGCTAGATATGAAAGCCAGTGGATTTAACACCATTGCAGATTCTCTCCTCCTGAAAATGAAGGAATGTCATCAAGAACCTGGGAATCTGAAAGAGTGCTCACCTTGGATGAGTGAATTCAAACCAGAATTCTTGAAGCATGAGCTGGAAATTCCTGGTAAGCTATGCCTATTATTAGTTGCTGTAGATTTTCCGGGATGTGTGGCCGTGGTCTTGGCATTGTAGAACCTGACGTTTCGCCAGTAACTATGACTGGCATCCTCAGAGGTATAAGCACAGAAAGATGGAATACTCTCTGTTTCAAGGTGAGAAGAAAATGGTAGGCAGTAAATTTATATCTACTCCAGAAGGTGGGTAGGGCTGAGTCATTGTCTTGTAGGAGTTCCCCAGGCTGTGCCTAGTCTGTAGATTGCAGACTAACTACTATTTTGATTATTAATTTGCAACATCTGCTTCATATATGCACTCTTTGCAGATCCTCGTTTGCTGCTCTTAACCACGGGACAAATTGTGTTATCTAATGTATTTTCCGTCTCTGATCGTTAAGATTTACTTACTTTTCTTCATACTAGTCTCAACAACTTTGACATTTTTTTTTCTTCTGGTGTCACGATCTAAGCAACTTTTCCACTAATCTTTTTATCATTTTATTGTGTGCTCTTCCTTCTGGCTTTCCTGACTGTCAAAATGCAGTCACTGAGGTAAATGAAGATGTTTGACAGAGCACATTTTATCTAAAACATATTTTAAAAGTCAGTAGATGAATGTTCTGGAAGTCCTAAGGAGAGTTGCCCCATTCCAGGCCTCTTGACTTCAACAGCAGTTTGTAACTCTGCGTAGGCTGGTACTGTTAGTCTGTCCTTTATGTCTTGATCGGTTGGCTCCTGTCAAGAGCACAAAATACAATATTTACTCAAATATAAGACTAAGCTTCCCCCCCCCCAGGTATGCAATCAAAAAGAAAAGAAAGAAGGAAAGGAAAAAAGGGGCCATCTTATATTCAAGTTACACTTCCAGTAATGATTATGGGGGTGTATAACATTTGTTTAGGGGGGGTCTCCCTTTTTAGTAATTATGGTATGCACCTGTGTAGGAAGCTGTTTGCCTGAGGAGATTTCCAGTATGTCTGCCACTATCTTAATCATGTCAGTAACCTGGAGAAGGGGTTACAATTTGCTGTGATAGCTGGGGTTGATAGAGCCATTGTGGGAGAGCCTTTACATCAAGCCGGGTGCCTCACACTAAGGAGCCCACATGCATTCGTCCTGAAACGTTCTACAACAGCAGTAAAATGTAAGAAAAGACCATCACTGGCGTTTTTTTACTAGAGTTGTGTTTTGAGAATATTAATTCACAATTCGTTTAGTCAAAACAACAAAAATTACCTTAATAGTTTCTTAATCAAATAAGCATTCTGAGAGACCACAATTAAACAATGACTTTTTTACCCTCTTAGGTCAGTATGATGGTAAAGGAAAGCCATTGCCAGAATACCATGCAAAAATTGCAGGATTTGATGAAAGGGTATGTTACTATATTAACATGCAGTGTGTGCCTGTCACTTAATATTGTATGAAAGCAAATTGTGTGCAGGTTAACATTTTAAAACTCCAACATCCACACTTAGAAAGGATCTGTCTGATCATGTTCACATAATCATAATTATAACCTCTTCATTAAAATATTTTCTAACTCTGGTGCTTATAGGCAGACCTTAATGTTTTGTAAAATGATACACATATAGAGTATTATTTTCTGCATTCTTACATCCATGCAGAAATGCAGGCTAATTCCTATACAAAAGTATTTTCTTGTCCATTCTATGTCCAATCTGTGCTTTTCTTTTCCTCTGTTTCATCCAAGATAAAAGTCATGCTATCCATCCGGAAACCAAAGCGTATAATTATCAGAGGCAGTGATGAGCGGGAGTATCCCTTCCTTGTGAAAGGAGGAGAAGATCTCCGGCAAGACCAGCGTATTGAGCAGCTCTTTGATGTCATGAATACTGTCCTTTTGCAGGATGCGGCTTGCAGCCAAAGAAGCATGCAGCTAAAGACTTACCAAGTCATACCAATGACCACTAGGTAGGCACTTGCTGATCTGTTATATGGCACGTATATACCAACCAGTGTTCCCTCCAAGCTGAGTTCGTGTGAGCTAGCTCACAGTTTTTAAGCCTCTGGCTCATGCATTTTTGTCTCAGCTCAGGAAGAATGGCTCCAGAGCAAACTGATTGATGCAGGAGCCAAAGGGCTCGCTCACAACTTTAATGCCAGTAGCTCACAAAGTGGATTTTTTGCTCACAAGATTCCATAGCTTAGAAGGAGCATTGACACCAACCCTTGTTGCTGAACTAGTAAGAGAATTAGCAGGAGAAATGGTGGTTAGAGTGTTGGGACTTGAGGCTTGAGAGGATTTAGGTTCAGATCCCTACCCATCTGTGAAGCATACCAGGTAAACTTGGACCAGCTATTCTGTAACCCTAACGGCACTGTTGTGAGGATAAAATGGCAAATGATGTAGTTTGCCTCGAGCTCCTTTGAAGAATGATGGCGTGGAACTATAATTGATTGGCCTTGAGAGCTGACATGGTGTCGTGGTTTACTTGTCAAAGGGAGTCAAAGGGTCAAATCCTCACTCTGCCATGGAAGCTTGCTGGGCCAGTCACACACTCTCAGCCTAACCTACCTCACAGGGCTGTTGTGAGGATAAAATGGAGAAGGGGAGAATGTTGGAAGCCACTTTGGGTCCCCATTGAGGTGAAAAGTCGGGGTATAAATGAAGTAAATGTTGCAGATCTATAAAACATAATCACCAGACAAAAAAATAAAGTATCTTTATAATGTTACTGAACACCCATGATTAAAAAACATAATTTTAATATTTAGTGACATTATTAATATAGAGCAGAGTTTCATTAAAAAACCAAATTTTAAAGTTGCTTTTTGCGAAACTTTCTTCTGAGTAATGGTTTTAAAGCAGTGAGGTAGATGTCTGAGGAAAGAGCTGGCAGTCACAGGGAGAGGTGCAAGTTCTTTCTTGAGTGTCTCCTGTACAAGCCTTGACTGCTGCCCCCACACAGCTTGACTGGGCCTGATTTACCAGTTAGGCTGTCCATATCTGCATTTAAAAAATCTGTACACGACATGCAAAGGAAGGTTCACTGCTTGGATCCCCTCACAGTAATGAGCCGGCTGCATCATATGGTAACCCCCAAGTTATCATACCAGTTCTTGAATAAAAGAGAAGGATTGTTGTTTCAGGCCTTAGCTCTCAATTACTTTTTGTTTCCTCTTCATTTATAACATTCCTATTGCTATTTTAATATCATTGAACAAAACGGCAAAAAGGATATAAGGCTTTATTCCCCAGTCTGTCCTTGTTTGTATTTTTTACCCTTTTGGGAGCAACCTGCATGTCACTTTATTTATTTATTTATTTATTTATTTTGATTTATCAGCTGCCCTTCCCTACGAGCAGGGCTCAGGGTGGCTTACATCAAAGATAAATACAATATAATTGAATTAAAAGAGAATTAAAATACTTAAAAACAGTAGAAAAATGGTACTAAATTATCCTACCAACCATCCTGTTCTATAGGCTTGCCAAGCCCCCGGTGGGGACGGGTAAATTCCGTTACCCGCTGCCAGCGGATCGAGCCCCGGGGGGAACTCCACCCCCTGCCGGAGGGCGTCCCCAGCTTGATGATGTCACCCGGAGGTGACATCATCACGCTGGCCACATTGTGGGGGGGGCACTGTGAATCGAGGGAAAACTCTATGGTTTTCCCTCGAGTCACGGTGCCCCGCCCCCAACGTGGGCGACTCGATGACGTCACTTCCTGTGATGTCATCGTCGCATGTGCAGGGAGACTCCCGACGGAGCCAGGAATCCCCCCGCTTTGCAGGTAAGTCAACTTGGCAACCCTACTGCTCTACCACAAGGATTTTCCTGTTAGACTTGCTTGTGAATTCTGTGTATGGAGTAAGGTTCCCAGCCACATGGGGGCCAAATTTGGATTGGGACCACAGTGCATGAGAAGAAGGGAATTTAAGCCCTCCCCCCCGCATTTTCCAGACCTGACTGCTCTGCTGGGGAAACTTGCATGTACTGATGGCTACACATAGGTTTCCCCAGTGGAGCAAACAAAGCTTTCCATGTGGTTTCAGGTTGGGAAATCTTAATGGAGGGGGAAGGCCTAAGCTGCCCTCTCCTTGCTTGCTGAGGTCCTGATCTGGTTTGGGCTCCTGCGTGTCTGGGAGTGGAGTTCCCAGCACAGAACTTGTAAGGCACATTTGCTTGAAAGTCCTCGTGGCAGACCCAGGGAGGATGCAAAGGTTAACATCACCTATAGCTAGTCCCATTGTCAAGCATATCATCTTTTGTTATCTCCCTGTCACCAATCTACTTTGGGTATGTTTTTTTTCAGGCTAGGGCTGATTGAATGGCTTGGGAATACCTGTACACTAAAGGAATTTCTTCTACAAAATATGTCTGAGCAGGAAAAAAATGATTATAACAGGTAATGGAGACATTTATTTGGCTATATTTCTGGGCTATTAGTGACATTCTTTAGAAGTATGTTAAGAACTGTGACAGTTGGCTATCATTACTTTTAATGTAGCAGTACCCAAAGGAATGAACGGTTCACATTAATCTGCAGAAGTCAAAGTACTTCCTTCCCTAGATTAATAATTGGCAGCTGTTTGTATAAAGTGCGCCATTTCACCTTTAACCCATATTTCTGCCTACTTGTCTAAATAAAGGGCTTGTTATCGTCTGTGGCTTCATCATCACCATTTTCTTATCAGCAGATTGATTTTTACAAGCAAGGGATTTTGATTTTAGTTTGAATATGCAGGAAGTGAACTTCATGCTCAGCATTGTAAACTTATCAGTTGAAGTGGACAGTAATTTCCTGATTAGAGGCAAGGACGGTCTCTCCGAAGCCATCACGCTATGAAAACCAACTCTGAGCCATTCTCTATCATGAGAGGGTTTTGTGCATTCTTTTGTAAATATGGCAAGGCTGAAAGTCGCCCTAATTTTATTAATAGGCATTGTACAACCATAATCTTGTGTGAATGCTGGACTTAAGAAAGTTGTTCCTGTCCACGTCTCAGGGTCTGTTAATCAGACCTTAATTCTTCTCCATATTAAATGTACAATATAATACATTTGATAGCTTACTTCACTGTTTGGTTTGACCTCATAGCCCACTGCCAGCAGCTCTATAATGTATTGGAAAAAAGATTCCATTAAACATTTATTAGCAGTGCCTTCTGCTTTTGAGTTCACACAGGAGGTTATTAAATATATTCTATTTTTTATTTTAGCCCTATGTATTTATTAGCAATATTTTTTATTTATTAGCCCTATGTATTTATTAGCCAGTTTGGTGTAGTGGTTACGTGCGCGGACTCTAATCTGGGAGAACCGGGTTTGATTCCGCACTCCTCCACCTTGCACCTGCTGATGTGACCTTGGGTCAGTCACAAGCTCTGGCACAGCTGTCCTTGAAAAAGAGCCGTTTGTGTCAGAGTTCTCTCAGCCCCATCTACCTCACAGGGTGTCTGTTGTGGGGAGGGGAAGGGAAAGGTCTTTGTAAGCCGCTCTGAGACTCCAAGTGAAGGGCGGGGTATAAATCCAATCTCCTCTTCTTCTTCTTCTTCTTCTTCTTCTTCTTCTTCTTCTTCTTCTTCTTCTTCTTCTTCTTCTTCTTCTTCTTCTTATAACAGTAATAATATGTTATAAAGAATGTGATATTTAAATGCTGCTCACTGATCCAAGCATCAGTAATAATATGTTATAAAGAATGTGATATTATGTAAATGCTCACTGATCCAAGCATGCCTATTTTGAAGCACCACTGGTTATTGCTATTGTTGTTGTTAGTCCTTTCTTCATCATTAACTGTTCATTTCTTTTTTTAAAAAACATAAACAGCAAAAATGAACATGTGCTAACTGCAGAATAGCTTGTTTTCCAAATGGCTATTTAAAGGTTGCTGTGCTTTTTCTCTGCCATCTGGAAAGCAGTTTTAATTTTGAGTGATCTCCAGCCCTCACCTGGAGATTGGACACATTTTACCTCAGAACAGCAAACTGTTTAGAATGTTAGAGGCAAAAGCCAATCAAGTCACATGTGCAAACGACCTCTGTGTTCCGAGGCAAAGGCAAATGAGGCGGCATATGCAAATAATCTCTGTGTTCTGACTGGCTATGAGGGGGAGAAGAACAGCAAACTGTTTAGAATTTTGGAGGCAAGACGCAAGCAATGCAGCCAGTGGATATGGACAGATTCTGAGTGACACACCAGGGCACCAACCAATTCCAGAGCGTATGGAATGTTCTAGAGAAGTGCCTCTACCATTCGGCTTTTATATATAAGGGAGATGTGAGCTGTGCTGGCAAGAACTGGAGCATCACACCCGCAGAAACTAAGGCAGCTGCTTTAGCAGTGCATTGCTGCCAAGACCAGTGTTCCCTCTAAGCTGAGTTAGTGTGAGCTAGCTCACAGTTTTTAAGCCTCCAGCTCACAACTTTTTGTCTTCACTCAGGAAGGAGGGCTCCAGAGCAAGCTAATTTATGCAGCAGCCAAATCGCTCGCTCACAACTTGAATGCCAGTTGCTCACAAAGTAGAATTTTTGCTCACAAGACTCCACAGCTTAGAGGAAGCACTGGCCAAGACCTGTGACTGTCAGAGGTGAAAGGAGTAAGCTGTAGTATGCTTGTGTTTGCATCTGAATGAAACCATCACTGCTCACTACCATCTGGTTTTATTTTTCTGGGGTTTTGTTTTGTTTTTTTATTGCATTATATGTTGTCCTCCTTAGGACTCCCTTTGGTATGGGAGAGAGGTGGGGTATAAATATCTTCACAATAATCACTAAAATATATAATGGTCATGTGTATGTTATGCAGTGGTACAAATTGAGTGTTTGTTCAGTTCTGTAAGAGCTACTTTGCAACTTTTAAAGGGATTGGGAAATGAGTTTGTAAAAAATCTGCAATAAGTGCCTTTGTTCAAAGGGTGTCTCCCTGAGGATGAAAGTAACTGTACTTGCATGCTCCATGCAAAGGCTTAGTCTGTTTGAAGAAGTAAAGTTCAAAGGTTGCTTAATGTGGGATCAGTGGGATTCTGTAAGTCAGGAACTTGTGCAAATGACATGGCAGTCCCAGGGGCAAGAGAGGGAGCAAGGGGTGTGGGGAGGATAGACCACAGGCACTTAGCGGGAGGAAAATAGGTCACAGCTTTTATTGGCTACAATCATAGGAACATCTGGTGCAGCATCGAGCCCAGACCCAGCATCAGGCAACCTGCCTGCCAGCCAGTGACATCAGCCCTCACCCAGCCCACCCGTTGGACAAAAATCATGCAGGATGACAAGTCCTGGGGTTCCACGTGGGTGTTGAGCCATTGCCCTTGCCACCTGAGGGCTACAGCAGGGCAACAGGCCCCAAGCTGGGCATGCCACTGGATGGCCTACCCCCCAAGACCCCTTACCAAAGGAAGAGAAGGCATGCAGGCTCAGCCTCCTCCCAAGACTGGATCCAGTCCAATGCCCAAACTGTCTATAAAAGCTGTGACAGGAGTATACTGCACACTAAGCCCTACCACCACACAATGACAAACCGGAGGGAGGGTGGGTGGCGACGCCTGCACAGACTGAGTGGCCTGGTCCCCAGAGGTGGCTCCTTAAATCTTCTGGAAGTGGACCCCAGTGAAGCCTTGGGCCTCCTCATCCACCTGGGGGATCTCTGCCCCCCACCCAACTGGCCTGTTGCTGATTGGCTCCTGTCTTGGAACCAGACATGATCGTCGCTGCCTGTGAGCTGTCATCAGGGAGCTAGGTACCAACACCCTCCCCTACCTCACTCCAAGCCCCCTGGCCACAAAAGCAGCCTGAGGTGAGTCCGGGGTTGTCAGTTCTGTCAGTTTGCTACAAATAAGTATCCCTCTCCTTAAGGCAAAGTACTAGACTCTGTATTTCTTAGGACCTTATTTTGTGAAACTCTTGAAAACCACTATTTTTCCTAGAAACACTGGGAGAAGTGATTGGACAGAGTGATCTTTCATGTATCACCTTGGTGCTAACAAGATGGATGCCATCATGCTGTTTTCAGATAATGTAGTAAACTGATTGAAGATTGTTACAATTTTTGCCTCTTTGCATAGCTCCAAAGGTCCTCGTGCTGATTACAATGAGTGGCTCTCCAAGATGGGGGACAGGAATGCAGGACTTGTAAACTATGTATCTATGTACAAGTAAGTTTTAAAATTAAACGTTATTCGTTTATAATATGTATTATGTTACTGTACTACTAGAATACTTAAGAACATAAGAGAAGCCAGTGTTGGATCAGGCCAATGGCCCGTCTAGTCCAACACTCTGTCACACAGTGGCCAAAAGTACCAGGTGCCATCAGGAGGTCCAGCAGTGGGGCCAGGACTAGAAGCCCTCCCACTGTTGCCCCCCCCCAGGCATCAAGAATACAGTGCATCACTTGCCCCAGCCTGAGAGTTCCTATCTATACCTTGTGGCTAATAGCCCCACTGATGGACCTCTGTTCCATATGTTTATCTAATTCCCTCTTGAAGCCGTCCATGCTTGTAGCCGCCACCACCTCCTGTGGCGGTGAATTCCATGCGTTAATCACTCTTTGAGTGAAGAAGTACTTCCTTTTATCTGTTCTAACCGGACCGCTCAGCAATTTCATTGATTGCCCATGAGTTCTTGTATTGTGAGAAAGGGAGAAAAGTACAGTATTTTTCGGACCATAAGACGCACTTTCCCCACCCCCAAAAAAGTGGGGGGGGAGTGTGTGCATCTTATGGTGCGAATACTGCCTTCTCCCCCCCCCAAGCCCACGGAGCCCATGGGAAGGCTTGAACTTACATTTTAAACAGCACGTTCTCAGGTCCATTAAGCACATAAAAAACGAAAGTAAACCAAGCTCCAAGAGGACCCAACCAAATCACACAGAAATTAAGGGAAGAGCAGACTGTTCCATTGGGAGGGGGGGAAGAAGGCTGAACCTCTTTTGCCCCAGGGGTTCATAGGAAGCAGCTGGTCTGTTCTGAAGCACAGTGCTGGGGGGGGGGGGGGTGGGGCTTCTCCATACCACACCCCT